CTAAACATTTGGTTGGACATTTTTGCCCTTGGATTTTTATGAAATTCCCAAATTGCCCTTGGATATTATGGGCAATATTCGATCTCGGCCGTCGGTTTCAAGATAAGATCGAATCTGGGCCGTCGATTTGGATTGTGAGAGAGGGGCAAGATGGTAATTTGCCACTTTTGGTCAAAATGTGACTATTTAAGTCCAAGACCCATTCTCTCTCCTCATTTCCTCTCTCTCCCTCACGGCAGCCCCCCCCTCACCGTGAGCTCTCTCTCTCCCCTCTCCCGTGGCCGTGACCCACAGCAAGGAAGCCACACCGCCGCCGTGCGCCGATCGCCGTCCGCCGTGCCAAGCCGCGCCGTTCGCCGCTGGCCCCGTCAATCACCGCCGCTTATCGCTCTAGCCGAGGTAGTCTAGGGCTTGGTAAGTCGCCCCCTAAACTCTATTTAGGATGTCGGGTATTAACGGACTAGTTTAGACTCGGTTTAGTGTGGTTTTAGGGGCTGTTTAGCGTTGGATTAGGGGCTGATTGTGATGAAATTAAGTGCGGGAATTGTGGACTGATCACGGCTGAGAAGTGGGCTGGATTATGGTGATCTAGAGACCAATTTAGGGGCTAGTTAAGGCTGATTTATGAGCTGGGTTGGAGCTAGAACTTGAATTTTTGAAGTTGTTGTGAATCTCGGATTCGCGGTTACTGTATGTCTTCGACTTACTATTTTTGTGGAGATTTTTAGAGACCGAATCAGGAGTGGTGTTCTTCACGAAAGTTTTTCCTCACATCTTGAAGTATAACATACTTTAAATTTGGAATTTTTGGAGGCCATTTGGGTCGCACGAAAACCCATTTTCGGACAGTATTAAAACTGCCCGGAATACTGTTCATCCCGACCTTCTTATCTTGCCGAATTTTTATAAAATTTTCCAGATCTATTTTCAATAAAATTCCTTCACAAAAGTTGTTGGTCACTTTCATTTCTATGACATATAAAAATTTCAAGTCTTTTCAAGGTGATTTGGGTGTTGAAAGAAATGTATTTTGAGGACAAAACAGTATGTTAGAGCGAACTGATTTTGGTCTGATTTCGAGGGAAAAAAAGGCATGGTTGCAGATTGAACCGGATTTCGTGTTCTTCGTAAGAAATGTTTATTAAGATGTTTTTTATGATATATCCAAAATTTAGAATTTTTGGAGTTCGTTTACTATTTATTTTGGTGGGATTTCGGTCACTGTGTAAACTGCCCAAAAATTACCCTGATTCTTTGGATATTCATTTTTATGAGCGGAACGGTGGGGGTGTCGAGGTTGAATAGTTGCTGCCAAGAGGACTGAAATTTATGCTTGAATGTGTGTTGTATGAATTAATTTGAGGATGAAATGAGGATTTTTCGGGGCTGGAGTGAGACTGATTGGAGTACCGGACGTTGTAGATTGAAATGACGGACATATAGTCCGATTTGGAGACGATTTGTGTCGGTTTGAATGGGCTGTGATGTGGCTGTGTTGTGGTGCCCGTTATGACTTGAATTATGCGTGGAAATGTTGAATTTGTGCCTTTGAACGTGGCTGTGTTTGTGGGCCCGTGAGTGGCCTTGTGTGTTTATTGTACCGAGATTTGATGGATTGAAATATGCTTGATTGTGTGCACGCTTGGGCCGGACTGAATGAATTGTCAAGTAGGCCATATCGAATGCTTGGTGAGCATGAAAAATGTATGTGAATTGTTGCGTGCACGGGCCGCGTGTGATTGGCCAACTGAGTGGCAAGTGGTTGTTGAGCATGTGCATGAGCAAGAAAGTGAATGTGGTGTGGCATGTGCGATCGTGGGAATTGTGCCGTCCTGAGGCGTGTACTTCAACGCGGAACGATGCCCAGTATTACCGGAAGACTGCCAGTCTGAGGCGTGTACTTCAACGTGGGTTGTGCAGTAGGTGGTAGATGTTAAGCCTGAGGCGTGTACTGCAACGCGGGCAAGAAACATGGCCTGAGGCGTGTACTGTAACGCGGGCCCTGAAGTGTTGTGAAAATTGGTCACAGTGAACCTGAGGCGTGTACTGTAACGCGGGTCACTGGCGAGTAGTACGGAAAGAAATGTGATGAGGCAAGCGGAAATGCGTGAAACGTGAATTGAGCATGCATGTGATTGCATATAGTGTGAATATGACTAACGTGCAGGGTGCAAGCAGGATAAGCCAGGTAAGCACAATTGATGTGCCTGTTATGTGATGATTGCATGTGTGTGGTTGAGTCTTGTGATTGTCTAGAGGTACGTGATAGCCTAGGTGGGGTTTAGGGTGTGTGCTTATTGAGATGTGATCTCATGGTTGTTTCAACCAACAATTTCAGAACCCCGGCCTGAGCGATGAACCTTCCGCCGCCGCCGCAGCATTTTGCAATACCGTTGCACACCGACAATAACGTGGTAGAGTACCCGACAGACGAGCAGGAGGCTCAGGAGGACTCAGACTCGAGTTCTGAGGAGTCGGATTCGGAGTGGACGCCATCTCGAGGGCGTAAGGGCTAGAGTAGGGGTTGGGAGTAGGTCTTTTGAGGTGTACCATTTTTGGAAGTTAGGATATACAGGCTATCGATCCTTTTGATGTCGATGGTTAATAGTTATAAGTTCAGTGTGCTGGTGCATATGTATAGTGGTTTTGTAAATTGTGAATATTGTATAAGTTTGGAAGAAAAATGAATATGTATCTTCTCCTTTGTTTACCCCAGTTTTTATTTGTCCGGGTATTAGTGGCTTTCGCTGATCGTTTTTAAATCTCTGATAAGTTCAATTGGGTCGGCGATACCCTGGGACATCGCATTATTCGACCAGAGAAGTGTGTCGCGTGCTCGATGGGGTTCGGGGCGTGACATACGTGATGCAAATGCGCGTTTTTGCATTGTGGGTGAGATGTATCCTTTCCGAAGTTTAGCGCTTCGAATCCTCGGAGACTTATGAGTATCGAGGGACATTAGGGTCATTTAGGTTTTATCTCAGATTCAGTACATTCTGTTCAGTAGATTTTGCATTTTCCCTATGCTTTTTTCCGCCTTTCGGTTTCGATGGTTGTCTAAAATTTTTCTGTTCAGGATTCCTTTGACCAACTTTTAGCCTCGCGGGAGTGAAACAAGATGGCGACTACGGGAAAGGTAGACCAGTCTCCTGCTCAATAAGTTGTTTTTTTTTTTTATGAGTTTCATTGTGCTACTATCTGCCTGAGTTCTCAAATTGACTGTTGTCTCTTGTTTGGTGCGGGATCACTTCGCGACTTTTAATCGTATAGAGGTAGATGCTATTCCCAAGGACGACAAGCTGCTGTTGTGAAATTAGTTGTGCTGTTGGCGACGTGTTTAACTTGTCATCCATTTTCATTGACAGTTCTCAGGACAAATTTGCAACTGCATGAGTGCCAATGGAAAGAGATGAATTGTGCAGACAAATGACATCAACCTGAAAGCTATAATCTATACTAAAAGTGCACACCAAGAAATGCAAGATGATTCCTAGTGCATGATGAGGGAAATAGAAGAAAAATCTCCGCCTACTGTTTTGTTTTCTGTAGTCATGAGAGAAAGTATATTCATTGTTCGGCCTAAATACAAGTGTCCACTCTAGGCACGTAATTTACTCTATGATAGCCTGTGTGCAGTGCCACTTGCTATCACTTTACATTATGTTGTTTCTCCATTTTAATTATGTAGTTTCTGAACAGACAAAATGAGCTCAAGTTTCAAAAATTTGTAAGGGCTAGTTGTGTGTCCAACACGCAAATTGTCAAAGGATAGTTTATCTAATGATGATGCGACAGTATCCCTCAATTTGCAAAGATGATTGTATGCTATTTTCACTGTCTAGCTAGTTTATTGTACTTAAATTTTTTGTAGTTGAATTGGAGTAAGAAATCATGAAATGGGTTGTGATGGAAGTATAGACTGGGCCATTTGGTTCAACTTGTCAAATTCTACTTAGGGAATGCAAATACTTTTAGGTTAATGCCCCTTGGGGAAATGCAAATGACGTTTGGTAAAAAATCCTTTGTAAAGCTACTTTGGCCAGAGTAGTGTTTGGTAAATTTTTTTTTGCAAAAGGGCTTTGGGAATTATCTTTTTTATTAAAAAAAAAAAACCTACCCTACTTTTCGTCGGAGCTGGCGAAGGCCTATGGCCGCCGGCTAGTTAGATCTGGCGCCAGTGGCTGTCGCCTAGCCAGATCTTCTACCGGCGGCCGTCGCCTGGGTCGTGCAACTTAGGCGGGTGGTGCTTGGGTCGCTCGACCTTTGGTGGCCGTCGCCTAGGTTGTGCGACCTCGCCGGCCCGATCCGGTATCAGCCGCCCTTGCTGGCCTTCCTCGCTGGCCGCCTCACGAAGAAGATGAACAGTAACAAGAGGGGCAAAATCGGAATAAGACAAAATAAGTGAGGGTAGTTTGGGGACAAAAAAATTGGGTTCAGCATTCCAAATGCTAGCATTTGGTCAATGGACTTCCAAATGCTGAACCAAACGGTTCAGCATTTCCTCAAGAGGCTTTCGAGGCCAAAAACCCCTTCCAAATGCTGAACCAAACGAGACCAGAGATGACGTTTTCCCTTTGTTGTACGATTATTGAATAACAAATGATTAAATTTGGTCGAGCATGCATGGCTCCAACTTCAATGAGGCATAGCAATTTGCCATGTCTTAATATTCCCATCTTAGTGTATAACATTTTCTGTCTTCTATTTGCACAGATTACCTTTCTTGGGAAAATAATCTTGACGAAATATACTTACTTTCACGGCTATTGATTCAGCCCCAATCACTCTGGAGGGCCAAGGAATCAATTCTTTTAATTGCTTCAAATTACCGAAAGAATCATAAAGCAGTGAACAACTCATTGCATGTGGTGGTTGATCATGAGACCGTTTGCATCATTACGGTTCTCATCTCTCGTGCCTTAAAACAATAATGGCATATCCAACACTATAAATGTCTACCACCATGCATGGCTTCTTCTTCACTTAGTCATCTAGAGGGCCAAACAAAGCCCTTTCGGGTTAATTCCACATAAAACGCGTTTAATCTAGTGAGTTTTGCTAAAGGAGAAGGGCTTGTATTGAGGCAAGATGGGAAGACTATTTGGTTTGGGCATTGGGATTGTTTTGGGTTTTCTAGGGTTTGTTGTTGTCTCAATTCAAGCTCAACTTGAGATGGGTTATTATTCAAAGAGCTGCCCAGAAGCTGAAAGTATTGTGAGAGACTTTGTCGAAGATCACATCCGCAATGCTCCTTCTTTAGCAGCCGCTCTACTGAGGATGCACTTTCACGATTGCTTCGTTAGGGTTTGCTTTCATTCTGTTTCGTCTCTAGGCTCCCATGAATGCACATTATTATCTTATATTAAGCTTGAGAAGTTTGAAGGAATCACTTATTGCGCGTATCTCCATTTCGAAATGACGCGTGTTTTCTTAGCTTCGAGCTCGTGCTAGCTTTGAGAAATTTGAGCTCATCTTTTTTTTATCATCGTCAGGGTTGTGATGCTTCGCTGCTTTTGAACTCTACTTCAAGCAACCAAGCAGAGAAAGATTCTCCTCCAAATTTCACCGTGAGAGGCTTTGACTTCATCGATCAAGTGAAGAGCCTTGTTGAAGCTGAATGCCCCGGAATCATCTCTTGTGCAGACATCATAGCTTTGGTCGCAAGAGATGCAATTGTGGCCGCCGTAAGGACAGTCACATAATAATTATTTCCGTAATAACAAATATCCATTGTTCATGTGTGTCTAGATCTTAACACCGTATGTGAAAACTATTTCCTTCACTGACGATCGAATGAATAACAAATTTGTATGTGAAAAAAAGCATTGAAATTGAATGCGGACTAAAACTGTGTCTGATTTGCATTAAATTACAGGGAGGTCCATTTTGGAGAGTTCCCACAGGTAGAAGAGATGGAGTTATTTCAAGGGCATCAGAAGCACTGAGCAACATCCCTCCTCCAACCAGCAATCTCACCGCTCTCCAAACATTTTTTGCCAATCAAGGACTTGATTCAAAAGACTTAGTTTTATTGACCGGTGAGGCCATGAATCACCCACCTATAAAACTAACTGATAAGCTAAAACCATAAGTATCGGGAGACATCGAAATCCATTTTCAGTACGTGATTAAGTTGGTCATGAGCTAAATTAGTAGTGGATGATGTAACTTGTTCTAACATAGGAGCTCACACGATTGGTGTATCTCACTGCTCGTCTTTCCGCAACCGGCTATACAACTTCTCCGGCGTCGGGGATCAAGACCCGTCCCTGGACAGCGAGTATGCAGCGAATCTCAAGGCCAAGAAGTGCAGGAGCCCAAGTGACGACACCATTGTGGAGATGGACCCGGGCAGCCACAGAACCTTTGACCTCAGCTATTACAGACTTGTGCTCGAGAGGAGAGGCCTCTTACAATCGGATTCTGCTCTCACCACCAGTCCTGCTACCGAGCTCTTCGTCACACAAGTCCTCCAAGGGTCACTTGACAACTTTTATGCTCAATTTGCCTTGGCAATGGAGAAGATGGGCCGGATCGACGGGAAGACCGGGTCCGCGGGCGAGATAAGGAAGCATTGTGCGCGGGTGAATAGCTAAAACAAAAGGGAATAACCTTTGCTCTTTCTTTTCTTCAATATATTGCATGTTTTTGGCGGAATGTCATCAATATTTATGGGTGATGAACCGATAGTGGTTGCATAGGAATAACAAAGAGTAAAATTCACAGCAAGGGCACTTCTACTATGGTGACATCAAGCTTGCCCGAAAGGAAGCATGCCTCGGCGCAATGTGAGCATGACTAGCAAATATACCAACAACATACCTCACATTATATCCCATGACTACTTACATACCTCAATTTCACTTTGGGAGACCACTCTTTACGTTCATATCTATTGACCTCGTGTTCCTACTTATGCCATTTTGTTTTTGAAAGGGGAAAATGACATAAATAATCCTTGAACTTTGGTCTAATGTGCAATTTGGTGCTTAAACTTTTAATTTGTTTAATGTTATTCCTGAACTGTTGGTATAAGTTCAATTTAGTTTCTAAACTATATAAAAATGTTTGGACTATATCAAACATTTTCATATAGTTCAGGGACGATATTGAACACGTACCCAAAGTTCAGGGACCACATTGAACAAATTAAAACTTTAAAGATCACATTGAACATTAGGCTAAAGTTCATGAACTATATTGGACAAATTAAAAGTTCCGAAACGACATTGCACATTGGCCAAAATTCAGGGATTGTTTGTATCACTATCCCTTTTTAATATGTCCATCCCCAAATTCTAATTTCTCGCACTCATCCAAAACACTCAAAACCTACATCAATCACCGCTCAAACCCCAGGCAAGATCCTAAGGAGCTTACACGTTTTGTACAAAGATATGCGAATGGTATTTGCAAAAACTTCTCCTGCATTTCGTAAGAAAATTATGGATCGAATTTGTCAATGACAACGGGATTTGACCTCTAAACTAAAATGACGATACTGCATAGTCTTGCATTTACATTCTTTACTGCATTTTTCTACATTTAGATTTTAGAGACATCTATGTTTAGGAGGAGCATGTTCGCATTGAATAAAACATAATCCGGGTTATCAGTTTCGTTTAAACTGGCCTAACGTGCGACCCAATTCGTAGTACCGAATTGGATAAATTCTAAGCCCGATCCAAGCTTTGCACTGGACCCAAGAATTCAAGCCCAATCCGTAGCTAAAACCAAGTTCTGCCCTTTTCCATCTCTTCCTCTTGGGCTGGCTGAGAGGGAGAAGACATTCGAGAGCAGGCAGGGAAAAAGCTAAAAATTCAGAAAGTTGCAACTTAGTATCAAACGTACCTTCTCGGTGTAAGAATCCATTGTCTTCTTGATTCTAAGTCATCAGGGTTCTCATTTTGCTAATTTATCACTTTATCACTAACACAGGCAATGAAGGAAAAATATGTCCATAAATGGAGGATTCAAGGTAGAAATCCAGAAACGGCAACTCATTCGCACTTCTTCACTACACCTTAACCCGGTTCATGAATTGCCCAACTTGCCTCACTCCACTCAGCTTGCTCTCTCCTCTCTACCCCCTCTTCTTCTATTGCCAGAATCTCCCACCCACATCTCACATTCGTTTTAACCTCCAGAATTCTTTCGTGTAGCTTGTTGCTGAACACGAAGAAGAGGATCGTCAACTATTCTTAAAGACCTATTCTGCTTTGACATTTCAAGGGTTGTCTTGATGATATATCACCAGATGGGTCTTTTATAACGGTCTGTTCTATGAGATCGCTGGTTGATATGGTCCCTCGGCATATCATGGAAGCACTTTTTCTATTCATTATTGTGTTATTGATATTGTTGACTATGATGCTAAGCTTTGCTTCACTATGACTTGTAGGTCATCAAACCTAGATGATTTGATAATACTGTATCTCACTCTTGAAATGATTTTCTTACCATAGGTAGAAGGGTTATCGAGGTGGTGATTTGAGGGATAAAACTAGCAAAACCTATTCTCCTCGGAGAAGGTATTCCCCAAGAAAAAAATGCAAGAGGTCACCGTGGGTTTCCTGGTTAATAAACTACGCTCCATATCTGTATCTCTTCTTCTGTAATAACGTTGCTATAACCTTCTTTGATTTGCATAAAAATTGGGCAATGTGGTTTTTCTTTAATGTACTCATATTTGAGTTCATTCATAAACTGCTGTGACAAACAGAAAGAAGCAGCATTTGGATGGTCAAAGTGACGCTTCCAGAGGAATTGAAGATAGAGAAAGAGGAGGGAAATCTATGTCACCCCAATCCAAGTATGCCCTTCCGAAGCAGGTTAGCAAAATCCTTTTGATATTCTAGTCTTACTTAGTTTAGAAATATTTCTTAAGTGTGTTCCTCGAAGGGTGTCATGCTTGTTTGATCGTGGAACTGGATATGTAGTTAAAGCGGGTAAGGTTAGCTATCAGCATGCTGGAACACCACAATCATCAGCAAGAGGTGAGTTTGTTGGTTACAGGGATGCTTCTTTTGTTTTATATATATTACCACTTTTGGTAGATTTTGCTTTCCATAATGATATGATTGTCTTCATTGATTCTCATACGGCATGATGATCCTTTTTGACCACTTCCGAAATTTTTTGCTTTCCATATTGATATGATTGTTTTCATTGAGTCTTTTGCGCCATGATGGTTCTTTTTAACTACTATTGTTGAGTTTGCTTTTCATAATGATATGATTATTTTTTTTTTACTATTTTTGTGGAGGTTGTCTTCCTCCAATGCCTTTTTATTAGTCGTCTTCTGAAAGACAATAACAGTACATACATAAATACAAACACCCGCGCCCGCGCGTGCGCGCGCACACACACACACACATATATATATATATATATGTTGCTCCTTTTCTTATGTGTTTCATAGCTTTAATAACTGCTAACAATCAAATTGCCACAATTAGAAAATTTGTTTTGATGAAAATTTGTTTTGATGATTACTATTGGGTTCCTACCATTGTCAAGGATTTGAGGAGAATTTTATTTTCTTTTCAAATGTTTTGACATAGTTGGAGGTGAATATGAGCAGGTGATGGAAGAGGAAAATGCTAAATTGTTGAGTTAGTAGGAAGAATTTAACCTCTTTTATCATTCAAAACAAAAAAAAAAGAGAATAGCCGTTTTCAAGTAATTTGTTCATGCTCGTCAGCTTTGGCCGTTCCAATGTAGTAAAAATCTAGCTTTTTCAGAGAAGTGACATGCTGACCTTGTGTGCGTTTATTCAATATGAAGATGTACCTGGAATAGCAGCTTCGAGAGGCCAAATACTCCATCCTCTAACATTCTGGAGTTTGAAGGTCAGTGGCACAAAGGAAAGAAAGAGTGCAGAAGGTAGGAAGCAGCAAGTCTACCTTTTTCTTGCATTCCATGATGCATCATGTCTATTAGGAATCTATTTCTTTTGTAAGATTGTTTCTCCCCCTTTGCCTGGTATTTTGACATGATCAGATATTCGAGTTTACATCGAAGATCAAAGAATTCATCAAAGCGCATAAGTGATATTGACTTTTGGAGACCATTTGGTGTATTCACATCTATTATTCTTACTGTTTCTATTAACGCCTCTTTTTCCTTTCCAGAAATACCCATCGCAAGTTCTAAATTCTCGCATCAATCCAAAATGCTCAAAACCAACATTAACCAAATCACCCAAAACCCAAGCAAAATCCTAAAATGACTTTGCGAGTTGGGACAATTTGGACTTTTTAACAAGGGATTTTGCTTGTAGATATGTGAATTGCAAAAGTAAAAGTATGGAAATAGTCATTGGGTCAACCACTCTCGTATAATTAAGGTTCCGTTTGTTTAATAAAAAATGAATGATTTGGAAAACATTTTTTCAAAAATGATCTTTTGAAATAATTAACCAATGAAAAATGTTTTCATTATCGACAACAGTTTATGTTTAAACGTGTTGACACCTAAATTTTGGCGTATCATTTAGTCGTAATTTGTATAGAAAATTAGGGATTTAATTTTTAACTCCTAAACAAAAATATTTAGGTTGCATAACATATAGTTTAAATTCATTTTAGATTAATTGCATTTTGCATCGGACCGGCGGTGACGAACGAGCTTAAATTTCATCGAATGGGACTCGGCTCGCTTGGAATGCAAGGGCCGGGAATTACAAGTCAAACGGGCTCGGTTGTTTTAATTTGAGTTTAATTCAACCCATTATCCTTAATTAATTCAGCCCATTTAAATTAAATTAAAATCTAAGCCCAAGCCTAAGCCCATTAGGACTAGAGAGCCCATCTAATTGACCTAGATTAGTGTTATATATACATCATTAGGTCAGGATTTTAAAGGGGAGCTTTCATAATTTCAGAAATCAGATTTTTAGAGAGAGCACAAGGAGGAGGAAGAAAATACGAAGAGCAATCCACAAGTCCATCTCTAGGTCGTGCTGTTTATCACCATCACGGAGCTGGTTTTCACGACTACCAGCTATCGTCGCTGTCCTTCCTCGGAGCCTGGCGACGGATCAGTCTTGCTACATCTTCCTATGTGTCCTGACGAAAACCTGGTGTTCATAGGCCTATCTCGGCGTCCTCGAAGTGCATCCTGCGACTTGTTCCGATCAGTCCAACTTAGCACCGGTCCATGACAATTCCCTGTTTGGCGAAGTTCTGTGTGTTTGCAGGTTAATAGAAGCCTTTCCGCGCTGCTCTGTTCCCTGCATTGTGAGCACCACGAAAACTGACGCTGCAGCCCACGTAGCCCCTGCTGCCGCAGATCACGTCCTGTTCTTCCTCGGTTCGATGCTCTCACAGCCTCAAAGCGAAGCCACGACGTTCCCTGCAGCGAGTCCCGTGGCCTCGTCGTCATCACATGCAGAAGACGCCACCTTTTGATTTCTTTTGAGATATAGTGGTAGTCAAAGTCGATTGCCTGGTCAAAGTATCAAGTCTTCAGTGGAAGCTCAGACAAATAAAGCCACGAAGGGATTCGCATACTGACTTGGTGGCTCAACCGTGATCTCCAAGCTCAAAGGTTTATTTTTTCGGCAAGTTCGTGAACCATCCAGCCGCGATTCCAATCGAGCGTCAACCATCAATCGTCGGTATCGCCACTCGCGATCCATCGTAAGCTCGGAGCCTAGCCGAGCCACTCCCGACCGCCGTCACGCCCGCAGTTGCCGTCGCCGCCACCGTCTCGATCTGCAAAGCCCGATCCCGATCCACAATTCGAATTTGGAAGTTATCTGCAAATTAGGTAATTCAATATTATCCGATATTTTCAGAATACTTAATTTCCTAATATGGGTGTTTGAATATTTCGTGAATATCATGTGGATATTTAGATATCTTAGGATAATGTTCTATATATCCACAATATTTTTAAATATTCAAAATTAGGAAAACTTCCTAATTTAGCAACGTATCTGGACGACTATCCGACCTTATCCCTAAGGTTCGATACGCGGCGATACGAAAAATTATTATCCTATCCATTACCACTTGGGTACGATAATGATTTTTATCCGCTTTCCAAATTTGAATAATCGGCTTTCCGTCGATATCTATAACCCTATAGATATGACCGATAGTTTGATTTTTGTGCCTAATCCGAGTTTGAAACAAATATGGCGGATCGCGTGGATGTTTTGAATGTGGTTGCTATCATTGTTTATTTAATTGCTTTCCTTTTTCAAATAAACAGAAAATTCAAAAAAAATATTAATTAGATTTGAATTAGAGTTTTTGCATGTCTAGGAATCCTAAATATATCTAGAAGATAGAGTAGTTATTTAATTTAAATTAGGACTTGAGATGATCTATTTCCTAGTTTAAATTAAGTAATATTCTAATCTTAATAGATTATTCAGGTTATTCATTAGTTCGAATTTTAACAAAAATCCTAAAAAGAAATCATGCTAGGGTAGATTAAGTCATCATAGTTTGCATGTTAATTTAGGCATTTTTATTATTCCGAATTTAAATTGAGAAAATATAAAAAATAATCATTCGTCCTGTCATTAGAAATAGGTCACGTCGTCGCACAACATATAGTTTGCATGCTAGGTTGCATTAATCGCATGTCATTGCATATAGGCTAGATTTCATTTAAATAAGTGAAAATCCAAAAAAAAGAAATTGAGTGAATTGCTTGTTAATTAGAAATCATATTAGGGTGTCAATGTGATTTTCTAGCTAACAATGCAGATGCTTACGTTGCTTCCAGGTAAGTAATTCTTCCAAACTTGCAATTTATTTAATACTTTCTGGGTGTTAAATTGGTGGTTTGCGCACTCGCATGAACACCTCACATGTTAGTAACTAAGTTGAAATGGATCCAAACTGCCTGCCAAAACATTTTTGAAAAGAAAAGGTACCGAAAGGGCGTTATATCAGATCTAGCGTAATCAAGTCCCCGGGCTTAGAATCTCTGGTTCGTAGGAATAAAACATATCTCCCTATGTTTTATTTAGGTTTCTAATCAACCTACCATAAATTGATTAGTGGCGACTCCGAGCATAAAAACTTTTGCATATTAAAAACTTAAACCCTAAGTTGCGAATTGGTAGGGCTTGGGAGGGCCCGAGTTAGGCTTAGCCTTAACAATCCATTAGCCTGAGAGGAATTTTAGGTCGCGACAAAACGATTCCGTGAACGGTGAAAATATATTTTGTCATTCATTCCTGTAAGTGACTCAATCGATCACTTTTTGGAAAATATTTTTTCAATTATTCGTTTCCCGCGAAACAAATGGATCCTAAATCTCTGGGCGTGAATGCACTGATGATGCAATAGTATGTGGACTAGAGTTTCTGATACATGGTGGCTTTCACTCCTTAGTAGTTGAAGGCTAACCCTTGGCTGCCTGAGCGCTCACTCCACTCTCCATGACTAAATTGAATCGATTCCTTCATTATCGCATTTTGGCATAAGTCGTATTCTATTGTGATTTTGCTTTTGGTGTTGAGATGGGCTTGTGATGTTGAATCAATATTTATCTTAGTGGATTTCGGCGAGTCTCATCATCAATGATCTGATTGTTACACACACTGAAGCCCTTGTAATTCTTGAAGTATCAATTTTTCAACAGCGATTTCTTCATAGTCTATTCTTTTCGAAGACAAGATCGATTCTTTTGGGTGGGATAGAGATGCAGTGATGAGGGGAAGGCACTCGCTGAGGGTGTCGATGGGGGCAGTGAATCACACTCCTTGAGCCCATTTCTTTCAATAAATGACTTCTTCTTCCACTGAGCAACGTTAAGAATTTTGCCATGATTTGGAACAGAATGGTTATACTATACTTCCCCAAGGATGGTGACAAGCTACGTTTGCAAGCGGAAGTTCCCATTTGAGAGAAACAATAGTCGAAGCAATTTCAAAATTAGAAATTCGATGATCACTTGAGATGGCACAATCAAAGTTGCAAGCTTTTCTTTTTTAGCCTTAATGGTGAAATGTAATCTAAGGGCTTGAGAACACTTTAGCCGATGTGCTCGTCTATGCGTTACGACCGAGAGGAGGTTTCATGTGCAATTGTATCTGGGGACTAGGAAGCTGTAAATCTTGGACATTTTAGCCGCGTTTATGAGAGAACTAAATGATACATTTTGTTTCGCAAAAAATGAATTTTTTAGAAAATATTTTTTGAAATCATTCATTTTTCGTAAAACAAACAGAGCCTAAGGTGCTGCAAATTATCATCTAGGTAGATTACCATGGCATACCGATTAGTTTTGAGCGGATGAAGGTAGATCACATTACAAGTTCAAAATAGGAATGCCAATCACATCAAGAATTACTATGGATACTAAATCAGATGGACATGGTCTCCGATCTTTATCAAACTTCGAAATTTAAATTTATCGAATATTGGATTTGACATTAGGGGCATTTTGATTCACATTTCTTAAATAAGTCCCCGTTTGAAGTAGGCCGTTCTAAGTTGGAGCAAACCCAACTAGGAGTTGGTTTTCTTGGGAGATGCAATTGTCGAACAAGCTGTGTAGCCTAACAACCATTTTACAGGCCTGCCCATCAATGAAAGAGTTTGTACTTTTCTTCGTATGTAGGTTTTAAGGATGAGCGACCTAAGAATGAAATTGCTTTCTTAGCTGCTGACACGGTGAGCTTAAGAGGTCCTAACATGCTGACAAGCCACAATCGATCTACTAGTATCGATCCACCATGCCGCAATATGCACCCACTACTAAGACACATCGTCCATTGAGCAAGTCTAGTCACTATCCCTAATCTTGGCAATCCTCCTTTGAATACCACTTGCTCTAATTTGAAACTTCAACAAGGATTCTCCCATAATATTCTACCTTCCTAATCTTTCCCCATCTCATTCAATCAATTCTGCAGCAGCACAGGCATCAAATACGGAAACGCAACCTTTGACTTCTAGATGAGAAAACAAGTACTGCAAACCCACTTAAAAAAATTTATTGACGCGTCCTACTCAAGTGTGACATGCAACAATCTACCTTGAGTAACAGAAGCTTTACAACTTGTTACGAAAATTACATGCGCCACGAATAAAAATCACTAAAAAAGATTGATTATACGCAATTTCCATTGTGCTATATCCATGTAAATTATGTTGTCACATGTAAATCAGTCCCCAAAGGTTATCCAACGGATCTTCCATCCAAAGTAGATACCGGACAGGGTGACCACCCCAGAAACTGCGACACACAATGCCGAGAGCATTCTAACGGTAGAAATGGCCAGCTTTTTCGAAGGAACTTCCAGAAATAACAATTCCTAACAAAAGCAACAACACAAGTTAACATAAACATCAAATGCAGAAAAAGAAAAGATCAAGACACGATTTAGCATTTATAAACCATCAATTGTTAAAACTAACCGACACATGCAACGTGGAATGACTTCTCTCCGATGGTCCACTATACCACATGCAAGAAGCACTCGCAACATTTTCTTTGAGATCTAACGCAATAAATCTTACCTTGAAACACAAAAGTGATGCAACAATGAACATTATCTTTTCCCAGGGTTGCATTACCCACGTCCTTAGGAGGGTAACCTGTGGCAGTCATAGAGCAAAGTCATGCTAGAGAAGAGAGAAGCAATGGAATTTAAAGAGCACGAACTAAAGTAAACCGATAAATAATGCTTAGTATATCTGGAGCATCTAAAAACTGCAATTCAAGATCGTGACAAAGGATAATCCATATAGAAGTCAAATATGGTAATCATCCATGAAGATTCACAATGTCCATAAAAGTCCATCAAGTACTAGCAACAACATAAGTGAGTTGAATTGACTTTTGGATTCTAAGCCATCCTCCAGTGTAGGAAATCGACATGGTTGGTCTTGTGAGTGAAGTGGTCTCTGCTGCTCAAAAGGATATTGTGCTACATTTCCTTGCAAATAAATGCATGGAGAATGAGTTACTCCCTAACTATCACGTAATAAGCATCTCTCACATTGATTTATGAGTATCAATCGTTGAAGCCGATATACGCTCTCTACGGCCATCACTTAGAACAGCAACTGAACAACTTAGAGAAGGAAGGGAAAAGAAGGCAATACTAGTTCTAGGCGACCACCCGGTATTACCTTGCCACCATACTTCATTGCTTCTTTAAATGCTACACGAGACTCCTGTCCGGGAGAGACCTCAAGCTTATTAACAACCTAATTATAAATAACAGAAGTGAGATCCCAAAGGATATAGCAAACACACTAATGCTGACATAAAAGTTGTTCTAAACTAGACACCACATAAAGGATATAGCAAACAGACTAATGCTGACATAAAAGTTGGTCTAACCCAGACACCTCATATATAAGTTATAGCAATCAAAACTGGAAACATATTGCAAAAAAAAAAAAAAATGCCTTGGCACACGGCTGGTCGTAAAGGATACCGGTTGGATTGACCACTAGAAACCACCCATAGATGGAGATGAAATCAAATTGATCCTTTAGATTTGTATTAAATGATACTGATCAAAAGAGCATTTAATGTACACTGAAGACATTCACTTCCATGACAAAAATTTGCCGCAAAATATATGTCACAATACTCTTCTCCTCGAGTATAATGCTCGATATTCTGGTTCTTCTTCAGAAGGAAAACCAACAAGATGTGAATTAGAATTACAAGATTAAGCTAGAAAATCTATGGGATAAAAAAGTAAGATATTGTGAAGGCAGTTCTAGAGTCAAAACAAAACAAGTATCACACAAACTATTAACAGCTATCATCATCCACTAATTCGTCAATGCTTGTGAGTGTCACCAAACTTTTTGCTTGGGGAAGGAACACTGACCCAATGAAGCCTCCCATGCAGATTTGTGAGAATAAATTTGTAAAGAAACAAGCCCAAAGACTGCGATAAACATTCATATAAGACACCTTATAATTCCGGTGCAACGTCAGTCCTTCATGCGGATTACCAGGGTGCCGCACAGATACCACCTGCACTCAAACAGGAACCCCAATCAAGGAACACAAGGTCGTTCTAAAGCATAAAACAATGCACAATGTGAAACCCCGACAACATGATCCATCCTCAATTAGCATGAATAGAAAAACACCTGTGGTAGCACATAAGTCATCATGGATTTTACTTCTATTTCTCTACATGATTCCTGCAACCAAAGCCATATCATTACATTTATGGCACAAACATTAAATGTGCACAGATTATGCCGTGACAAATTAGGGTCGATGAATGCGATTCTCTTTCACTGCCACATTTTGTGGGCAACCAAACAGATCATCAAGCCCAAATGCAAGAACTCAATTTTCCGAGTCTCATTTCCATTTCCCTTCATTTTCCTCTCCCAAACAATCGTCAGAATTCATTCCGAATCCAAAATTTAGAACTCGAGCCTTCACAACACTCACTTGAGACCTCTGTTTCGTCTGGAGCACGAACACGTCGCATGTCCCACCATCGGACACACACGTGACCACTACGCTCCTGGAGAGTTCCTCAGGTAGCATACTCCTACAACCGGATGTTAAAGTAACTAAAACTGCAAAATGAAAAATGGAAAGCAACATAGTCTTGACTCTGGTGCCATCCTCAAAGAGACTACTCACTGATCTCGCTCATGAAGAAGTGTCTCCACTTCCTTGCTCATTTCTTGATAAAAACGGTCCACCTCGTCCTGAGACGTCTGCTAATGCAGAAAACCAGAAATACCACGTAATGACTTCTCTCTGATGGTCCATCATACCACATGCAAGAAGCACAAGCAATATTTTCAATGAGATCTAATGCAATAAATCTTACCACTTCATACAAATGTCTTGAAGCCTTCAGCTTTGCCCATTCCCAGGGTGATATACCTATCGATACGAGAACCTAGAGAAGAGAGAAGCAATGGAATTTAAAGAGCACGATCTAAAGTAAACTAAAGTAAACAGATAAATAATGCTTTGTATATCTGGAGCATCTAAAAACTGCAATTCAAGATAAAAGTCGATCAACTACTAAAAATGCAAGACTTATGGATTGAAATCAACTGCTCAAAAGGATATTGTTCTGCATTTCCTTGGAAAAAAATGCATGGAGAATGAATTTCAACCGCCATCACTTAGAACAGCACCAGAACACCTTAGAGAAAGAAGGGAAAAGAAGGCAATACTTCTGGTCTGTAATCATGCTCTTCTCCATCTGCTATATGAAACTCATATCCGGCAGTGACGTCAAGCTCATTAGCAACCTAAGATCCAGAGATATATGTGAGTTAAATTGACTTTTGGATTCTCAGCCAGTAGGAAATCGACTGTGCTCCATTTCCTTTGAAATAAATGCATTGAAAATGAATTACACCCCTAACTATTACGGGTTAATTCCAAAAAAAAGCATCAACTTTAGGTCGAGGGACAATTTTGGCCCGAACTTTTTTTTGTTCCATAAAAAAGCATCAACTTTAGGTCGAGGGACAATTATGGCCCGAACTTTTTTTTGTCCCGTAAAAAAGCACCAACTTTAGGTCGAAGGGCAATTCTGGCTCGAACTTTTTTTTGTCTCGTAAAAAAGCACCAACTTTCACTTAAATCCCAAATCTGGCCCTTATTGACTTAAAACCATTGATTTTTCAACTTGACTATTCCACCTTAGCAATAAATCCACGTGACTTGCTGACTGGATTTAAAGCATTATTCATTGTCTTATTCTCTGAACCACAGCTTGAAGAATAACGGTGAAACTGTTCGTCTCCTTCACTTCACCGGCAAGTCAAAAATATCTCCAGATTGAATCTTTTTTGCCAAACTTCGTCGTTTTGTCGTAATCTGAAGCTGTAGACCACCGTCCGTCAACAGACGCCATGGAAGAGATTCGTCAGGCTCACCACCATAACTTTTTTTCTCAAACAAGGGTAACTTCAGACAGAAAGTCAATGGGGGGCCAAATTTGAGATTTAAATGAAAGTTTGTGCTTTTTTACAAGACAAAAAAAAGTTCGGGCCAGAATTGTCCCTCGACCTAAAGTTGGTGCTTTTTTATGGGACAAAAAAAAGTTCGGGCCAGAATTGTCCCTTGACCTAAAGTTGGTGCTTTTTTATGGAACAAAAAAAAGTTCGGGCCAGAATTGTCCCTCGACCTAAAGTTGGTGCTTTTTTTTGGAATTAACCCTAACTATTACATAATAAGCATCTCATATTTGATTTATGAGTATCAATTGTTGAAGCCGATAAACCAGAAATTACACTCTACAGCCATCACTTAGAACAGCAACCAAACACCTCAGAGAAGAAAGAGAAAAGAAGGCAATACTTGTTGTAGGCGATCATCCTCTATAACCTTGAGGTCATACTTCATTCCTTCTTCAAGAAACTCCCGGATAACCTTGCGGTCACACTTCATTGCTTCTTCATCTTCAAGGTCACACTTCATTGCTTCTTCATCTGCTAAGCGAAACTCACGTCCGGGAGAACCCTCAAGCTAATGAATAACAAAAGTGAGATCCAGAAGGATATATGTGAGTTAAAATGACTTTTCGATTCTTATGCCTCCTCTAATGTAGGAAATCGATATGGTTAGGAAATCAATACGGTTGACACTCAAAAGAATATTATGCTACATTTCCTTGGAAATAAATGCACCGAGAATGAATTACACCCTAAATAAGCTATCTCTCACGTTGATTTCTGAGTATCAATCGTTAAAACCAGTATCGTAGATGCTCCCATCACTTAGAACATCACTTAGAACAGCAACGAAACACCCTAGATCGGGCGATCACCCGGTATAACCGCTCCGTATAGACCACAGAAGTGATGTCCAGAAGGATATATGTTGAGTCCAGTTACAATAGATGCAAAACGATATGGCAAATAGATTAATGCTGACATAAAATTTGGTCTAAACCAGACACCTCATAAGTTATAGCCATCAAAACTGGAAACAGATTGCAGAAAAACATGCCTTGGGTTTGGGGACACGACAGTAGTACGTCGCCCATCGAGCTTGTAGAGAGAGGAAATGTGGTGGCTTGGAGGGCAAAACGAAAGTGAGGCGTGGGCGGGGGTTTCTGGCAGTGCAGAAAGTGAGGGGGAGTGGAGTGGGGCGAGTGGGCGAGCCTGGCGATTGGCGAGGTGAAAGGGTGCGAATGGCCGTCAACTTCTGGATTTCTTGCTTGACACTCCTCCATCCATGGAAAGGTTTTCGCAACATTGCGACAATGAATTAGCAAAATGAGGACACTGATGATGGATGACTCACTATCAAGAAGAAGGCAAGAGCAGATTCTTAGAGAGAGAGAGAGGAAGAAGAGAGAAGAACTCCTAGAGATCAGCGATATGTCGTGGAGCGCAAGTTAAGGAGGAATGATCTCGAGATTCAATTTGCGATTGCGTCACCGAATTTTTGGCAAATAAAAAGCAAGATATTCAAAAAGATACTCATATGTGGAAGATGGGGATTGTGTTTGTGCTGGCGTATCTACAAGAGGACAGGAGATAATATGTTCTTTCAAAGGAAGACAGTCGGCGAGGGGCCAATATAAGATGAAGAGAGATTTGCATCGAATTCTATCTATTATCGACGAATTCGATTCCTGAGCACGACTTTCTTTATAAAATTTTTTTTAATAATTTTAGGGGTCGCCCCCACTTTAATCATCCTTGAATTTTCTCGAGCCTAATCCCCTAAAATCTCTAATTTTAAATCCAATTGCCGATATTGTTCCGAACTTCTTTTTATCAAATAAAAAAAATCTCAACTTTAGGTTTAGTGTCAATTTTGCCCAAACCTTTTTTTGTCTAAAAAAAATCTCAAAGTCTCGGTCCAATCTCAAGTTTGCCCCAAACTTTTTTTTTATCTAAAAAAATCACCAAATTTAACTATAGTCCCAAATACGCCCCCGTTAGCTCCCGTCCAAAAATCGTTGTTGGTCGTTACTTTTAACATCACCTTACTAATGTGGATTAGTTACCAACGCGGAAATACCACATCAAATAACTAATGGCGATATGTGGGCAGAGGATTAGGGGGCAAGATTTAAGTCTACATTTTAAAGTTGGCAACCTTTTTAGACAAAAATAAGTTCGGGTTAGATTTGGGAGTAGAATTAAAATTCATGATTTCTTTTTTGACAAAAAGAAGTTCAGCGATAGAATTCGAACTGGGCTCAAATTTTTTTTTCGTAATAATTTATGAAAAAAAAAATGAAAATTATCCAAAAAAATTGATGAGAGATTGGAAATAGATATAGAGGGACATATAATTCTTGCTTGACACGAATCAACAAATCAGGAAAAATGATTTCCTTCTTGTTAGAAGGGGAAGTCGTTTTTTTCAATATATGTTTATTGTTTTTAGTTCATGGAAAACGCTTTCCGTCAATCGAGTAGTTTTTCGTCATCCAAAACAAACGTCAGGCGCTGACTGAATAGCCATGTCAACAATTTCCGACAAAAATTTACTGGAAAAAATACATTGGCAAATAGGCAAAATGTTTAGGACTAAATTAGCTAAATTGAAAAGTTTACGATTGAATTGGTTGCGGTATAATAGATTTAGGATTTTTTGGACAATTTATCCTAGGATCAGCTAACACGTTGGTCTAATGGATTATTTTTGCAATGAACCATTAATAATATATGCCACGCCTTATTCACCGGAAATGAGGTTGTCTCCGTTTTTACATAATCAAGTGCATCATCAATCAACTCGCTATAGGGCCTTTCCATAATCCAACCTGACAAAAATGACCACAAGGGAAAAAAAGAACATATTCTATAATTTAACTAATCTCTTCTTTCATCACAAAAAATTCTTTAGAGCTGTCATATAACAGGCCTTCTTCCTCTAGTGTTGTTGATAAAAAGGGGTTTTTGGAGATGAATTTGGGTAAAAGCATGCATTCCAAAGATTAAAATGTTCGTGCGGAGGATGTGTTCAAATGCACTGGCTACTTTTGGTAATCTGGCCGGGAGAAGTATTCCAAGGGAGGGACTATGTAAATTCCACGGGATGGAGGAAACTATAGAGCATCTACTTCTGTTATGTGATTGGTATGAGTGTGTTTGGCTAGTAAGTCTTTCCGTGATGGTGCTTCCAATCATCAGCAGCCATTGGATTGATGCTAGCTCAAGCACGGAAATGGCTGTGTTTGGAATCGGAAACTCATGCTGCCGCAGTGTATGATGTTTCTCTCTATGAGATTCAGGTTTTGGGATCCACATGGGTGCTCAAAACTCAACGTGACCGGCCCGAAAAAATGGTTCAGGTATGAGCCCCCCACAGTTCTAGCAGAATAGCCGTGATTGTTGTTGTTTTGTTCGTTCATCCGGGCTGAAGTGTGTCCCACAGTTTATGCTCATCAGGTTAGCAAATTGGCCATAACATGGATCTGAGAGTCCAATAGTTTATTGTGCGGTACAAGCATGGTAAAGAAAGCTAGCAGTGAAAATACTTAGTGCTGACATTGTCACAGAAAAGCGCTGGTGGTTCTGTCGACAGAATACCAATATATTTCACATGAGAATTAGAATCGAAGCTGATTCTGCAAATGTTTGAGCATCAACATAGTATTCAGGTTTCATGCTCAATCGTGGAACGGCTTCAATGAGATTACCATCATAGAAAGTAGCCAAACTGGTGGTGGATTTCCTAACTAGAATCAAGAAACGGGAACATTCTCTTTCGAGTGTTTGGTTCTTTTTTTGGGCATTATATCCTTTGCGGGAGAAGAATACTAGAAGTGCCAAAAATTGTATACGTCGCTCACTTTAATGCCAAAATTTTTTGCCAGATCACTTAAGTGCCAAATCGAAGAAAAAACGATTACTTAAGTGCCAACGGCAATAAATTCCAGCCAAATTAATATGTGGCTTTTATAATTAAAATTTTAATCTGAGTTGGGTTTTTTAAAAAAAAATCAATCTATGTAGCATTTCCATGTGTATATTTCGATTTTTTAAATATATTTTTCTAATATTTTTCTTTTTTTCCTTCTTTTCTTTTTTTTCTTTTCTTTCTTCTTCTTTTATCTTTGGTGGGTGACCAGCCACCGACCATGGCAGGCCGCCTACCATGGCAGGCCGCCTGGCCTCACCCGAATGAGGCCACCATTGCCCGCCACAGGCAAGGGCCGGCCGACCTCGCTTGGGCAAGGGCAAGCGAACCCCAGTGAGGGTCTGCCTCGCCTGGGCAAGGGCGAGCCTCGGCGAGGGCTCCCTTCGCTAGATCCGGCGAAGCCTTCCCTCGCCCAGGCCACGACGGCCTCGCCGGGTGTCGCCCCCTCGCTAGGGCTCACCCGCCTTCGCCTAGGCGAGGGTTAGCTGGGCCTCACTTGTGGTGGGCAACGGCAGCCTCGTCCGAGCGAGGCCAGGCGGCTGGCCATGGCCGGTGGCCGGGCCGGTGGCCGGTATCAGGTCACCGGCCAAAGGTAGAAGAAGAGGAAAGAAAAGAAAAAAAGAAAAAAATCATAAAAAATATTAAAATATTAGTAAAAATTATTCTCGTCAGCGCCGGCGTGCCATGTAGGATTAAGAAATTAATAAAATATGGTTACGTTAGATTTCCGGCGACCCAAATCAGAGTTGGCAGTTAAGTGATAGTTTTTTTAAAAAGTGGCACTTAAGTGACTCAAAAAAAACTTTTGGCACTAAAGTGAGCGTCGTACACAACTTTTGGCACTTCTAGTGTTCTTCTCCCTATCCTTTGCATATCAGTCTTATTCATTACTACCCTTAAACATCGATTGAGGTAAAGCAGTGAGACTCTATTTCCATCAACTGAATCGACATACATTAATCTATGTAAAGTAAATATACAAACAAAAGGTATAGTAATTTGAAATAGTTCAGTTATGGAATGAGGGATCAGTACCTTAAGACATTCTTCAAGAGCGAGATATCTAGAGGATCATGACAGATTTTAGAGGACGATTAAATCACCACAAGAAATTTTTCTTGAGTGTGTTCCTTAGATGGTGTCTTGCTTGTTTGATCTTGGAACTGGATAAGCAGTTAAAGCAGGTAAGGTTAGATATCAATATCAGCATGCTATATCATCACAAGAATCAACAAGAGGTGAGTTTGTTGTTTACTGGATTCTTCTTTTGTATAGGACCACCTTTGGTAGGTTTTGTTTTGGGTTAATATCACAAAAAATCCCAAATTAGTACATCTCTGATAAATTTACCCCAAACTAATTTTTTGATAACGAAAACCTCAAACTAGTACATTTGTGGAAAATTTACTCCACACTAAATTTTTGACCACCGAAAACCCTATACTGATACATTTGTGATAAATTTACTGTCCGTTAAATTGAATTAATATCATGAAAAATCACAAATTGATACACCTATGATAAACGGATGATAAAACCCTAAATTGGTACATCCGTCAACTTTCACATGTCATTCAATTGAGCAATTTAACTGTAAAATTTAACGAAAACTAACGGAGGGTAAAATTGTCATAGGTGTACCAATTTTAGGGTTTTTCGTGGTATTAACCATTTTGTTTTCCATAATGATATAATTGTCTTCATTGATTCTTATTAGTTATAATGGTCCTTTTTTTACCTCTTTTGAAAGTTTTTGCCTTCGATACTGATGTGAATGTCTTCATTGATTCTTTTGTGCAATAATGGTTCTTTTTTACCACTTTTGGGGGTTACTTGCCATACTGATATGATTGTCTTTTTTTTTATTGTTTTTACCGGAAATTATCTTCCTTTTATAGCTTTTAGCTTTTAAATTCTCTCTCTCTATATATAAAATTTATATGGGAGCTTCTATGCTGCTACTTTTCTTATGTGTTTCGTAGCTTTAAAAATTGCTAACAATCAAATTGCTACAACCAGAATAATTGTTTTGATGATTACTATCAAGTTCCTAACATTGTCAAGTATTTGAGGAGAATCTTATTTTATATTTGGATGTTTTGACATGGTTGGAGGTATAATATGAATAGGTGATGGAAGATGGTAATGCTGATTGGTTGAGTTAGTACGAAGAATTTAGCTTCTTTTATCATTCAAACACACAAAAAAGGGATCAGTGCATTGGAAGTGTTAAAATCTGTTGGGAAGGTACAGTTAAATCTTAAAATTTTAAATTGTGCAATTAAGTCTTAAAATTTGTCACGAAAATATAATTAAATCCTAAAATTTTTAAAAAATGCAATCACGTCTTAAAACTTGTGAAATTGATCAAATCAAGTCCTTCTATTGATTGCATATTTGAAAGTTTTAGGACTCAAATGTACTTTCATGACAAGTTTTAAGACTTGATTGTACTTTTTGAAAATTTTAAGACTCAATTATATTTTCTTGATAAGTTTTAAGACTTTCAATGCACTTATAAAAAAAAATAGCCATTTTTAAGTACTTTGTTCATGCTCATAAGCTTTTGGGCTGTTCCAATGTAATAATCTAGCTTCTTTAGAGAAATGACATGCTGACCTTGTGCGCATTTATTCAATATGAGGATGTACCTGGAAGAGCAACTTCGAGGAGCAAATAGTCCATCCTTTAAAATTCAGGAGCTTGAAGGTCGGTTGCACAAAGAAAAGAAAGAGTGCAAAAGATAGGAAACAGCAAGTCTGCCCTTTTCTAGCATTCCATGGTGCATCATGTCTGTTAGGAATCTAGGTCCTTGTTTATGATCGTTCGGGATCACATGAAAGATCAATCAATTTATCAAAGCGCAACCGACATATATTCACCTTCGAAGATCATCTTGTACTTTCACCTCTATTATTCTTGTGTTCCCATTAACGCCCCCTTTTTTTTGTCGAAAATGCTCACCTCCAATTTCAAATTCTCACACCCATCCAAAACACTCAAAACCGACATTGACCAAATACCCTAAACCCTAGGCAAAATCCTTTAAACGAGTTTTCGAAGAGGGACAACTTGGTCTTTTCAATGAAGGATTTTCGTTTGGAGATATGCGAATGGTAAGGGACCGTTAATGGGCTTTGTTCTCGGCCGCACCAAATCAGGCCCATCTCGGCCCAGCCCAAAATGGACACTGAAAGCCCAAACCCCCACGCAGAAAACAAAAACCCTAATTTCCCCCCGGATCGGCTCCTCCCGCTCGCTCCTCCGTCGCCTACATAAGCGTAACAAATGGCCTTCGTCTTCATCGCTCTCATCTTCTTCTCCGAATCTCCCTCTCCGCGTGAGCGCAAGTGATCTTCAAAGCCATCCCTTTCTTCTTCTTCTTCTTCTGGGTGTGGTGTGAGCGAGTGCAGTGATGATGCAATAGTATGTGGACTAGAGTTTCTGATACCTTAGTAGTTGAAGACTAACCCTTGGCTGTCTGAGCACTCTCTCTTCTTCACTCTCCTTGATCTGTTTGTTTCTTCTTCTTCTTCAAATTGCTTCCTTCATTATCGCGTTTTGCTGCAAATCGGGTTTTTGTCTGAGATGGGCTTGTGATGATAGATCGAATATAATCTTAGCGGATTTCAGTGAGGCTTCATCGTCAATGATCTGATTGTTACACACGCTGAAGCCCTCGCGATTCTTGAAATTACCCGTATTTTTCTTTTTCCGGCAGCAGATTTTCTTCGAAGCCTCTTTCTTTTCGAAAAGCGAAAAATCAGATTCATTTGTGGTGTGGGATTGAGATTGCAGTGATGAGATTAAGGCGCTCGTAGTGGGTGTCGATGGGCAGTGGATTACTCCGTGAGCCTAATTCTTGAATAAACGACTTCTCCTTCCACTGAGCAACGATAATCCCCTCAAGTGTTGTTTTTTTTCTTTTTCATCTGTTTTGTGGGTTTTGGATTTAGTGAAAATTCATGTTTTTTTTTCTTTTGAGTTTGATTGTTGGGTTTTGAGTGTTTTTAAGGATAAGAAGAAGAAATTTTGAGGGCGCCCATTACCAATTCTGGGGGATGAACAGTTCCTCTTGGCATAATGGCACGGGCGCTAAATCAAAGCGTTGTGGCACTATCCTGATCGGTGGCTTCTTGTGTCTTTTCAGTGCCATTGGATCCTGGAAACGCCTCATACATTCCCTTCTTCCCTTCCTTTCAGGAACAAGAACATATGAGAAAACTATCTAGTTGATGAGGAGTGAAAAACCAGGGGTTGCAAATAGATTTGCTGAGGCATTTAGCCGCATTTGAGAGAGAGAGAAATTGCTGTCGCGTTATTGAGTAGAGTTTTGATGAATGAAATAGATCGTGTACAAGTTTGATAATATGGATGACAATCACAGAAAATATTTGATCTGATGAAAATGTGGGTCGTGTTTATCGGACTTTGAATTTAAAAGGACCGACTGAACCAGGCAGTTTTCATCGAACATTGGATTTGACAGATAAGTACAACCAACTATGTCGACAGCTGCAATAAGGGCTTTTTGATTAACAAACATTGTGTTTTGGTTCAATGGTGAAAACGCAATGACATCAATATTACCCTTTAGTATCTCTCAATTGGATTGAGAGAAGTCATGCTCGGAAAATTTGACCTGATCATCAAATTTAAAATGATTGACTGAACCAAGCAGTTTTTATCGAACATTGAACTTGACAGATAATTACAATCAATTACGTTGATAGCTACAATAAGTGCTTTTTGATTAACAAACCTAACTAGGAGTTGGGTTTCTTGGAAGATGCCATTGTGTCTTGGTTCAATGGTGAAAACGCAATGACAGCAATATTACCCTTTAGTATTGCTCAAGTGGAGAGATGCCATGCTCAGAAAATTTGACTTGATCATCGCACTAAGCTGTGTAGTCTACTAGCCAATTTACAGGCCTGCTGCCTATCAATGAAAGAGCATGTACTTTTCGTCGTGACATAAGCTTAAGGATTAGCGACCTAAGAGTGAAATTGCTTGCTCAGCTTCCGAACCGGTGAGCTTAAGAAGTCCTAACAGGCTGACCAGGCCACAATCGATCTACAAGTATTGAACCACCATGCCGCAATAGGCACCAACACCACCCCTAGGTCCGGCAACGCTAGACACACCGTTCTCCTCCTCATTATGCCAACCTTGCCCATCCACTGAGCAAGTCTAGTCACCATCCCACATCTTGGCAATCTTCCTTTGAACATCACTAGCTCTAATTTGAAACCCATCTTCTTCAACTAGAATTCTCCAACTTCTGCCTTTCTAATCTTTTCCCATCTAATAGAACTCTATTGACGCATCCTGCTCAGTGTGACAAATAACAATCTACCTTCACAACATGTTATGAGAATTACATGTACCATAGAAGAAAAAAATTCAATAAATGAAGATTAATTATACACAATTTCCTCTGTGCCGCATCCATTTAAATTATGTTGTCACATGTAAATTAGTCCTCAAAGGTTATCCAACAGAATTGTTTCACATTTCATTTCTTCCATCCAAAGTAGATACCAGATAGGATGGCCACCCCAGCAACCGTGACACCCACAGACGAGAGCATTTTGAAGGTAGAAACAGCTGGCTTTTTCGAAGGAACTTCCAGAAGATCCTTTAACTAACACAAGCAGTAAAACAAGTTAACATAAACATCAAATGCAGAAAAAGATCTTAGACATGATTTAGCATGTTTAAACCATCAATTATTAAAACTAACCACCACAGGCTGCTTCCAATGCTTCCTGATACCCCCAAGATGGCCCTTGCCAACAACCGCAACGACTGAACTATGTTCTCTAGCAACTTTTAGCAAAGTGGATGACATGTACCTAACAGACAAATAAGGCAAAGAGATCAATATACTATACATGCTCTATAAGGGCTACAGTTACCAGCAGATTTATTTTCCCAAACATATTCGAGCAAATTCATGAGAACTCATGCAATGATTCGGGAGAGAAACTAAGTATGAAGAAATCATGTTCGTGATAGCTTGAGTAAGACAAACAGGACGATGCGTATAGTGGTAAAGGCTGGTTGTGATGCCAAGTATCGAGCAGAGAATGGATAGGCTATCATTTAAAGTTACAATAGCTAACAACATCATAAAAATCTTCTAGAATCTAAACCATTGGCATCTACTTAAAGTTCAAATAGAGCTTGTGCTTCCGTGTGGCAGTAAGACAGGCAATTGAATGTGAAAGAAATTAAAACTGCAAAATGAAAAATGGAAAGCAACACCGTCTTGACTCCAGTGTCATATTCAACAGAGGGTAAATCTATTCCACGACACGCTGAAACATAAAGAGAAAATACTCACTGATCTCGCTCATGAACAAGTGTCTCCATTAGGGTGGGAAATTCCTTGCTCATTTCTTGAATCACAAGAGTCAGCATGTCTACATCGTCCAGGTCCTTCAGCTAATGCAGAAAACCAGAAAAATAACCAACGTGGATTGGCTTTACTGATGCTCCACTATATCAAGTGCAAGAAGCACCCGGAAAATTCTCAATGAGACACAACAAATAGAAGCTTACCATTTTATTAAGATCCTCGGGACTCGGGAGGAAGACTGCTTGGAAAAGTAAGGAATATATTAACTTTGTCTTATGCCAGAGTGGCATTTTTGCCCATGTCCTTCGTAAGGTAACCTGTGGCAGTCATAGAATAAAGTAATAATAGAGAAGAAAAAAGCTATGGAATTAAAGAGCACGAACTAAAGTACATTGATAAATAATGCTTTGCATATTTCTAGCATTTAAAAACTGCAATTCAAAATCACTATTTAGGGTAATCAAGACATAAGGCAAACATGATTATTGTCCATGAAGATTCACAATGTCCATAAAAGTCGATCAACTACTAAAAATGCAACAACATAAGTGAGTTAAATTGACTTTTGGATTTTTAGCCCTCCTCTAGTGTAGGAAAAAGACATGGTTGGCCTTTAGAATGGAGTGCTTATGCTCGGTTGCTCAAAAGAATATTTTGCTGCATTTTCTTGAAAATATGTTTCTGATGAATGAATAAAACCCTAACTAATATTACATAATAAGCACCTCACACATTGATTTCTGAGTATCAATCATTGAAGCCGATAAACTAGAAAGTATCATAGATCCTCTCTACAGCTATCACTTACAACAGCAACACGAACACCTTAGAGAATGAGGTGGAAAAGAAAGCAATACCTGTACTGGGCGATCACCTAGTATAACTTTGCCGCCATACTTCATTGCTTCTTCAAATGCTACACGAAACTCAGCTCCAGGATAGACCTCAAGCTTATTAGCAACCTAATAAATAGCAGATATGATATATGTTGAGTCCATTTAAAAGAAATGCAAAAGGATATAGCAAACAGTATAATGCTGACATAAAAGTTTAGTCCAAACCAGACAAGTCATAAATTATTGCGGTCACAACTGAAAACAGATTGGAAAAAACGTGCCTTGGCAAGGAACCAGCTGTAAAGGATTCCGAATGCATTGTGGTTTTTCTTGTACATTTCGACCATTTCTCCAAATGTAGGTACCTGGCAGACCATAAGAAACATCCACAGAGGGAGATGAAATCAAATCAATCCTTTAGATTTAAATCCAATGATACTGATCAAACGAGTATTCAATGTACACTGATGACATTTATTTTCCATGCCAACACAATGCCAAAATATATGTTAAAATGCTCCTATGCTCGAGAATAATACTCAACATTCTGGTGCTTCTTCAAAAGGAAAACCAACAACATGCGAATTAGAATTACGGCATCAAGCTAGAAAATCTATGGGATAAAAAGGTAAGACACTGTGAAGGCAGTTCTAGAGTCGAACAAAACGAGTATCACACAAACTATTAAAAACTATCATTCTCCACTAATTCATCAATGCATTTCAAACTTTTTGGTTGGGGGAGGAACACTGAGCAAATTAAGCCTCCCATGCAGAGCAAGGACTGCGATGAATATTCATATAACACACACCTTCAGATTCTGCGGTGTAAGCACGGCCACTCGACTCGGGCATAACTCCAAAAATACCACCTGCATTCGGACAGAAACCCAAAAACTCCCTCAAGGAACTCCCTTGTTCTGAAGCATGAAACGAAAACCACAGGATGATCCATCCATCAATGAGCATAAATAAAAAAATCACCTGTGGTTTCAAGTAACTGATCACAGCTTCTACTTCTCTACAGGATTCCTGCAACCACAGCCATATCATTACATTTACAGTACGAACTTGCCTTGCCAAGTAACATGAAACGGATACTACACAGAGTATGCCCTGCCAAATTAGGGTTCCATGAATTCAATTCTCTTTCAATGCCACATTTTCTCGGCAACCAAACATACCATGAGCCCAAATGTAAGACCGCAATTTCCCAGTCTCCTTTCCATTTCCCCTCAATTTCCTCTCCAGTTACCAGAATTCATTCCAAATCCAAAATTCAGACCTCCAAACTTCACAACACTCACCTCGGAGACATGGGCCGTCCCGACCAGATAAACATCGCACGTGCCGCCGCCGCCCTCGGCCGAGGACTCGCACGTGAGGACCACCACGCTCCTGGAGAGCTCCTCGGGAAGCGTCCTCCTCCGATCGAATCCCCCGCCATCTCCGTCCCCGTCCCCGTCGCCGTCGCTCCGATGATCAGCCTCCTCGCCACCGCCGTCGTCCTCCCTCACGACATCGACCCCAACGAAGCTCTCGCTCAGGCTCTCCACGTTGGGATCTGGATCCTCGATGTGGACGAAGTCCTCCGCGGAATTCGCGTCGGGCTCCGGCGCGCGAGGGTCCATGGCGGAGGCGGCGGAGGGGGCGGGCGGCCTGGTCGCGGCGGAGGAGCCGGGGCGGTTCTCGGGAGGGACGCCGGAGGAGAGGCTGAGCCGCCTGGGGGCGGTCCTGGAGGGCGGCGAAGCGAATCTGAGACGCGGGTGGGGGGAGCGGGAGGCTCTGGCAATAGAAAAAGAGAGAGGAGGAGAGGAGAGGAGAATGGCTTGCAGGGGGCGAATCGGGCGAGTCATCAACCGGGTCGAGGCGAAGCGGAGGAGTGCGGCGAACGCCTTGCCATTTCTGGATGTTTTTCACCTCGAATCCTCCATTTATGGAAAAGTCGGATCTTCTTTTTTTCTTCCTCCTCGATTGCGTGCTTTATGATGGAGCGATGAATTCGCAAAGATGGGCACGCCGACGACGCCTCCGAGAAGCAAAGACGGAGCAAGGTTCCTAGGACGGAGAAGCTACTTTCGATGTTTCAGGGTGCGACCTCTTTTCTTACCTCAATAACCGAATTTTAACAGCAAGTTTGTAGCTTTTCAACTTCACATGTTTTCGACCAAGAAAAAACTTCACCTGTTACCAAAAAAAAAAAAAAACTTCACGGGTTAAATGTGAAATCTGAAACTTACCCATTATTGGAACGTGTTTTTAATTAATTGAGCAATTATAGTGAATCATTTTGTTGTTTTAATTAACTGATCACAACTTATATTTATATATATAAAAATATATAAAATATCAAGAAAGTAAAAGTTTCAATCATTAAACGGAAGATTAAACGGAAGCTTAGACTAGTGATTCCAGATCATACGCTCATTATCGGACGTCATGAAATATTGCAGAATCATGTAAAAATATAGACGAAAAAAAATCATAAAAACTTAAAACTTGTACCCGTTGAAATATATTACCCAATTTTTTGACTCTGAAAATTACTCTCCATGTCTTGAAAATTGAAACCGGACAAATTTCCACTAATTCGGTTCTCCGGTTCCAAATTCTACTTGGAACCGTCCTCACCCCTACTTAATTCTGTTCGTAATGCCTTCGTGGGTCTCTCTCATATTGGGCTGCGGGCTAGGGCTCACTTCTTATAGAAAACCCAAAGCCAAGACTCCATTTTTCCAACGCGAACGAGCAGCAACTTCTCCTCCTCCTTTTTCTGCGGCGTGCTTGTATCGGCGGCGATCGTCGGCGCGACCCAAGCTTCGTCCTCTCCCCAAGGTCAGCTTCCTTTTGACCCATCAGTTTGTCTCTCTCCCTCTCCTTTGGAAGAGGACAAACTACCCATCATCGTCAATGCGTTCTGGACATGCAGGCATCGTGATCTTCGCTCGTTCGGATCCGGCTCCAAAGCTTGCGCGAGCTCGGAATCGCTTATCGCCCCCCGATTTGCGCGATCGGTTCCGTGTATCCGGCCTCCGCCGTCGCGCGTCGGGTTGCGGGCGTTCGATTTTCTCTCGGGAAGTCGGTCGAGCCGTGTCTCTCACGATGGTCGATAGGAAGCTGTTCAAGACGAAGCTGTGCGTCCTGTACCAAAGGGGTCACTGTAACAGGCAGAGTTGCTCGTTTGCGCACGGACAAGCGGAGCTCAGGCGATTCGTCGGCGGGCCCACTACTGGTAATTGCGATGAGGCTTTTGGATTTCAGCTTGTTGGGTAATTCTGTCATGTGCGGGTTCGTGAGAATAGAAATTGGCAGGACAGGGGATGCGTCCGATTGTTGTTTGGTGGATAGTGATTGGAAAATCATTTAAGCTTCAATTTCCACCTCGGTTGGGAATGCTAACAGCATTGAAGAGCGGACATAGTTAATTAATTGTTTAGTTGTGCGGTTTTGCGCGTATCTGACTATGTTCCGCGAGCTATGGAGTGCGTGTAGTTTACGTGCTTGCTTGTATGTGTTGAGCTTTGAAGCATTGATTATGAGTTTGATGATACTGTGGTAAGCTCACTTATCTAGCCGTATCAGCATCATCGACATGCATTGTAATTGGCTGCAACTGTGTGTTGTTTTTGTTTGAATTTACTCCTCCTATAATGGTGCTTGTCTGCTTAAGGAGGCTATATTTGTTGCAGCAGGCCCTTTCTGCTCTTTTTGCTGAACGCAGCTTCCTGCTTTGCTGCGTTTTCTATCTTGTGCTGCATTTCGTCTCTGCTGTAATTTCGCATGTTTTTGTTCCCTCTGCAGCTTGTAAGTGTTTCACTGCTAGATGATGGGATTATTTTCTACTTCAGTTGGAAAATTTATCTAATCATGCCCATGCAATTCATTCGATGGGATAGTTAATTTGCTATGTGCTTGATGTTGCCAGAGAACAAATCCAAGGGAAAATGCAAATTTCCATGCCAAATCAAGGGATTTTTTTTTTTAAAATATGAAGTAATTTGGCTATTTTATTGATTACAGTTATTTGCATTTTCTTGCAGCTGTCCCTAAGTGTTCTTTCCGTGAAGCAGATAATTATACTCTATATTTCCCCTTATCTTTCATCCTGAATTTCCCTAGCTGTTTTCTGTTTCCTTTATCCAAAAGTTATGCGTGCACTCACATTTATATATTGGCCTTGCATAACTTGAAGCTGAAGCATCTTCCATACCTCTGATGTGTATGCGAGGAGATTCCATTAGTATCAATCGCAGAATAGAGATTTCAGGACATGGGTTGTCGAGAGACTTAATGCACTATATCAGCAATTTCAAGGCTGGGATAGACTCTTCTGGATAATCCAATGCTTATGGGATGACTCTAAAGGTCATTAGTATATTATATATAATGGGCTTCATCTTGGCTTACTGTAATTCATTCACCAGACTGGGATGCTACTTTTGGGGGAATTCTCTAGTCGAATTTGTATTCTTCTGTATATGATTCTTAGAAACAAGGTGATAGCATGATATGTTCAACTTATCTCTATCATGTTATGAGGAAGGAGCTCACGGTTTTCTCTTCGTCTAATTCTTCACATATATGATCCAAATGGATTTCGTGGATGGAGATGATCCGACTTCTAATGGCTTTTTAGTCTGAACTCTGAAGCAACAAAATTATTCATTGTGGATCAGATTGTATCGTATCATGTGATCAACATGGAGAATCTATCGATAGTATGGTTCAGAATTCTTTTGTGTCTCTTGTTGCTCAACATGAAGAAGAGGGCTGTCAACTATTCTTAAAATCCTATTCTACTTTGACATTTCAAGGGTTGTCTTGATGATGTACTCTGCAAATGGGTCTTTTATAACTATCTGTTCTATGAGATCGCTTGTTGCTATGGTTCCTTGGCATGTCATGGAGGCACTTTTTCTATTCATTGTTATGTTATTCATATTTCTCACTATGATGGTAAGCTTTGCCTCACTATGACTTGTAGGTCATCTTAACTAGATGATTTGACAACTACTGTACCATACCGGAATTTATTATCTTCTTATCATAGGTAGGAGGGACTACCGAGGTGGTGATTTGAGGAATAAAATTGGCAGAAGGTATTCTCCTCGGAGAAGGTATTCCCCAGGAAAAGATGCAAGAGCTCGCCATGGGTTTCATGGTCAGAAGCTATGCCCTATGTCTGTGTCTCTTAACCTGTGATAACATTGCTATAGCCTGCTTTGATTTGCATACAACCTATGGGCTATGTGGCTTTACTTTATTCATTAATTTATAGCAGTGGGTAATGGATTGGAGCCATGAGTCTATCTGTTGTTGAACTTTTTACATCAAAATACTTGGCAGTTCTTTTGTTCACTTTTATCTTCTGGGTGCTGTAATTTGCAGGATACAGCCCTTCAAGGTCCCCTGAGGAAAATAGGTAAGCTAGCACAAACTCTCCCTCTCATGCACTTACTGCCATTTCTAAGTGTGTATAAGCTGTTCATCTCTTGCTTGTTTTTCGGTCTCTGTTGCTATCACAAAATCTTATTAGCAATAGATTAGCTATTCTTTCCACAATACTTTTTTACACAACTATCCTTAGATTTATCTTTCAGTCAAAGATGAACTAGCTGATCTCTATTGGTTTGTACTTTTCTTCTCCAATCTTTCGATGTTATGAGCAATTCGGTACTTCAATTGAGTTGGAGATATGATATGTTGGCAATGGCAGTCTCCATGTTCCAGAGTTATATGGAATCTGATTCACAAAATACTGATTGTGGGAGGTTGCTGCATAATTTTGCGGTTACAGTTAGCTTTGTTCAAAGGTGTGAATATCTTTTTGTTATGGTAGTGTTTGCATAACATGCTGTTACCAATCTAGGATTTTCTTACTGGGATACATCGTCATGCTAAAATAATCGTAGCAACTTGGCTTGCTTATCGAGGTTGCTGGATAAGAAGATTTTTTTCATGAGATAGGCCAATAGCTCCTAGAAAGAAGTGAATTGATAAACCAAATGGGTTAGCACTACTGAATGAGGCATCCACGTCATCAAGGAAGTGATTCCTTTTTCCAAAAAATCGATGGGACATTGATCAAGAGTGGGGCCGTTTGCCGGTCCATTGGGAGCTGTACTAGCTTAACATGTATAGGCTACTTTGCTCTCTATTGATATCAGAATGATGTCACATAGATTGTGATACTGAACAAAGCACTGAGTACCGCTTGTCATAGAAGTGGTATGTAGGGGGTAGGCGTAGTTGGTCTCGAATGACAAATAAAGTGCAAGACCAACCTCTTTCATCCAAGCGAAGCAACATTTTTACCGCCTTTAGATTTATGTAATATCTTTGAATACCATGAGTATGTGGCAGGATCAGTTGGAGCACCAATTTCGGTGATCTAGAAAGTGAATGGACCCAACATCTAAGTGATGAACTGGAATGGCAGTTCACAAGCGGCGTATAACAATCCCATTAGGCTGCATTTGGTCATGTCCTTATTCGGATTGAAATAAGATAAGATAAGATAAGGTGAAAATAGAAATCCTCCGAATATCCTTTGGAATCTAGAAAACCCCATCTTATGTTTGGTGCAATTTAAGATAGGATTGAAAATCTTGGAAAATTGTCCTTCATATCCAGTTGCTTTGGCCTCCACCTACCACTTCCGACCCTCTCTGTAGTGCCCCGAGTCTGTCGTCCCATCCGTCGCCCTCTTGATCGGCTTCCTGGTGGTCGCCGTTGTCAATGCAAACCTTGCGTGAGGGTCACGATCCCCTGTCTACGTCAAAGGTCAAATTCTGATAGATTTCGGACTGGAGGTGGTTATAAGGCTAAAAACAATGGCAATTCTTTCACTGTGCTGGTGCAAATATTGTTCCTTTTGTGCCTCCTCCACATCCTGAAGAACAAATTCAGTATTTAAAACATACCCAGTTTCTTTATTCACCTAGCCAATTGGTCTGGTTCATCATAAATTTTCCGGTGCCTTTGGGTGTGAAGTGTCACCCACATAGAACTTGTGAACTATATTTTTCACTTAAATCCAGCTACAAGTGGCTTCTTTTGAAAGTTTTCTCAGTTTCATCTTCTTTTTTATCGCCGTTGCATCTTCCCATAGACCTGCTGAGGCATACATATATGATAGCAAAATTTAAGCAGCAGGGTCAACCAATTCCTGCTTAAAAATCATTGCTGCGAGCTTGTTTTGCAAGAGCAACACTGCCGCGAACTTGGGAAGCTCAAAGAATTGTACTTTAGACCAGTGTATCGTCTCTGACAGTCATTGAATTTATCCCACCTCATCTTGGATTTCTTATCCGACATTTTATTCGGGTATATCTGGTCTAGAGGACGTTGCCAAACACCTGATAATCTGTTATCCTATTTGGACTTAAATCTGGACTATCAAATGCAGCCTTAACACTTGACCAAAATGAATAAATCAGGCTCAAGACCTTATTTTCCATATTCTAACATGCATTTCTTAGTCATTGTGTTATTTGGTTTTGTATTGTCTATATGTTATTACATGTCATTTTTAGGATGGGCTGGGTCATTGCTATACTTCGCCATTTATGCCATTATTTTTGTGATACGCTTATAGTTGAGCTCACTATTAAACTGCAGTGACAGAAAGCGCAGGAAGAAGCAGCATTTGGATGGTCAAAGTGACACTTCAGACCTCAATCTTCCGGAAGGGGTTGAAGATCGAGAAAGAGGAGGGAAATCTACGTCGTCCCAATCCAAGTATGCCCTTCTGGAGCAGGTAAGCAAAATCTTTTTGGTATCCTAGTCTTACTTAGTTTAGAATTTTTTCTGAAAGTGTGTTCCTTGGATGGAGTCTTGCTTGTTTGATCTTGGAATTGGATATGCAGTTAAAGCAAGTAAGGTCAGATATCAGCATGCTGAAGCACCACAAGAATCAGCAAGCAGTGAGTTTGTTGTTTACAGGGTTGCTTTTATGCTTCTTTTGTTATAGGAGCTTCTATGCCGCTCCTCTTTTTTTTTGTGTGTGTGTGTGTGTGTGTTTCATAGCTTTAATAACTGCTAACCTTGGGTGCATTTATTTAATATGAAGATGTACCTGGAAGAGCAACTTCAAGAGGCAGATAGTCTATCCTCTAAAATTCAGGAGCTTGAAGATCAGTTGCACAAAGAAAAGAAAGAGTGCAAAAGGTAGGAAGCAGCAAGTATGCCCTTTTCTGGCATTCCATGATGCATTAGCAACTCTTCTTTTTGAATTATTGTTTCTCTAACTTGCCTGGTCTTATTTTGAAATGATCGGATGTTCAGGATCACATCAAAGATCAAGAAATTCATCAAAGCGCATCAGCGATATTCACGATCACAAGATGAACTGAAAAGGTAAAAGCTCTTTTCTTTTATTTTCATATTAATCTTTGACTTACCCATGCGATGTTTGATTCCATGCATTTTGAATTGCTTCGAGCTTTAGAGAATTTCTTTTATTCATAGTTTTATCATCATTCTGAATTTTGCAGATCAGAACTCCAACTTCACAATCTGGGAGATCAGCTTGGCATGGATGCTATTGGTGTCGGAAACAATGAAGAAGACTCGAGCGTCAACATCGTCAGTGATGGAGAGCCTACTGGGAATTATGTTGCTAGCCCAAAGAGTATGCTAATTGCTGGTGTTTACTGCATTGTTCTTCCTATCTATTTCAATTCCTCGTTGTTTTTGGCTTAGGAAAATAATGTCTCGTTGAAAAGGGAAGTAAGGATGCAATCTACTGCAAAGGTTTGCCACATCAGTGGGAACTATAACCTTCCGTTAGTTTTTTAAGTGGTATCGAGTATTGAAAAGGAAGGTTAGGATATAATTTTCTGGTCAAGTTGCCATGAATCTAACTAAAGATCAGAGGATCTGGGCTCACAACTTCGACATTTATTTAGGGAATGCATTAGTACAAAAAAAGCAACTATCATTGACATAAAAGTACATTTTTGTAAATTTCGGAGTCGTTGAAAGATGGAAATGTTTGCATTCTCCGAAGTTTGGAGCGAATAGAAGCTAGTGGGGTAATTTTTATTATGGGACGGGTAGGTCTCATGTTTGATGTTACTCATTTTTCTTGTTTGCTTGCATTTGTTTGTAAAATTTGTGATTGTGGCATATTGACATGAAACAGGTAGACTGAAGTATTCACAGGGGAAAGCATATCCTCAAGTGAATGATGACAAAGATGAAGAAGGGAATGGACAGAAGAATGGTTCTAAGCAAGCTGATGAAGGCAAGAGTAAGAGAGAGAAAACTGTATCTTCTAGCATTTCTTCAGCAGATAAGGTTGCCTTTTGTTCTTAATGCATCAGATGTTTTGTACTTGAGATGATACAACTGTCTTTGTGTTGGTTATTAGAACTTTGCGACTGTGTGCTCGAGATATATTTCTTTTTCTTTCAATTGAAGGTTCTGCCTAAAGGACTGCTGACGGGGATGACGTTACCACCAACTGGCATGGCTGCTCATGCTATAGATGAACTTGCTGATATTGAAGAGGAGAATGTTGAGTTAGCCGAGCTTGCTTCAGCAGGAAATGAGGTGGCTGAAGTGAAAGGCTTGCCTTTATCAACACCGCCATTGCCCAGTGTTCACAAGAATTCTTATTCTCAGGTATGTTTCCATCTCTTTTCAGCATTATAGCGAAGAGGAAGAGAGGATAGATCTGTTTCATCGGATTTGATTGAATGAGTTAGTGTTCGCCTAATTTATCCTTGCAAACAGTTACAATTGTTCTCCGGGTCCTTTTGTCTTGCAGAACTATATGTTCTGAACTGATGACCACAGGACACAGTCGTCTTGGTTTTTTTGGTAAATACTGTTTGTGTTTGCTTCTTATATGAGTATTTTCTCTTGCAGTATAAGCATAATGGTGAGAATGTGGACTTGAAGGGGCTGGTGGAGGACACAGTGAACGTGGATAATGTGTAGGATCATCCGATGCCTTAGATATGATTTATTATCTTTGTGAGATTCTGCGAGCCTTACATTTTCGGGAGACCTGGAAGCGCAGCTTGTGTACAGCATCTAGTTAGTTCGATGTACTCCTTATCTATATATCTTCTTACTATTCTCAGTGGCATATGTTTGGAAGATGGAAACATGGTGAACTGTAAGTCCTCCTTTGATCAAAGTCCTTTTAACTTGTCACTCTGCCAAATCGTGTTAGGCTACCTTTTATCTCCTTATGGAAATATCTTGATGTGTCGCAGTAGTCTAGAACTTAGTAGTGTAATAGTCATCTTGGCATTGCGACCTTGATCCATGAACTTCTCATTCCCCAAACTAAGCGCGAAGATTATGTTGGAAAACAAGTTGAGAAATGAAATGACTGCTTCATTCTTCATGACTAGCCTGTATAATTGCAAAACATATCTGGAGTTTAGGAATCCATTGTACAGGTCGACCAGAGTGAAAAATGAACCATAGCGTTTGATTGCACAAGTATGCTGTTATGTTACGTATTGCGATTACTTATTTTTCAGTGTCTTAACTTTCTTCGGGTTGCTGAGTAAGATGCTTGTGGGTTACCCTCTGAAAGCAATGCATGCGTGCAAGCCGGGCAGCGGCTCAACGTATACAATTTTAAGCTACATGTGCCTCCAAAATGGAAAATCGTGAAACAAAGCTATCGTATTGATTCATCATTACCGCATCGCGACTATATTTGCACCTTACATTGGCAAATTTTCATTGATATGGTAAGTTATTTCATGGTCTTTTGAATGTCCTAATGATTGCAACTTTCCATAAGAAATTGTAAAATATCTAGATTCAGTGTAAAAATTTCTTTCCTATTTGTAGGGGTGAATGATTTTAGGTTCCATCTAGAACCTACTTTCGGGTACAGGTTCCTCATTTTTTGGAACCTGGAACTTACCTGTCGGAACGTGGAACCTGAAACCTTATCTATCACAGGTTTCAAGGTTGGTTCCAGGGTTTATTCAGGTTCTACCTATATTATTAATTGAATAATTGCAATGAATCACCTTTAAAGATCACCATTTGCTGTTACGATCCACTGACCATAATTTATACTTAGACACACAAAAAACATGAAACATTAACAAGTCATAAAAATGAAAGTTTAAATTAGTGGTTCCAGATTATATATTCATCATCTAACGTCATGAAACACCGTAAGATTATGCGAAAACATAAACCAAGAAAAAATACAAAACTTGTTTCAGGTTTCAAGTTCCACCTACATAAAACTTGAAATCTACTTGTCGAAACAGGTTGAAACAGGTTCCCTAATTTCTGGAACCTAGAACCTACTTTACATACTTGTAACCTGGAACCTATAGGTTCCCATCGGTTAGGTTCTTAGGTTCCATGTTTTATCCTGGAACCATGCTTACCCTTACTCATTTGTTCATACCGTACATCAGTAATCGTGATAAGCAAAATTAAGGATTTTGTCGGACAGTAATTGTCCTAGTATACTGTAATTTTCCTTAATTAGCAATATTATTGACAATTATATAATTAGTAACTTTCTTTGAATGTTTTTTTGTCTCATTCCTCTCTATCATGTACATGTGTGCAGTGCACACGAGGATCAAACCTCATTCGGGCTCACCCTTCAATCCCTTTACCAATCGGCCGCGTACCCGTTGGCAACTTTATTTGAATTTTAGGCAGTTACCATTTTTGGTTTTTTTTTTTTGGAAAACCAATTGACAGTTCAAAATTTCGTACCCTCCTAACTAGTATCACTGATAGCACGAAAACGGTTCCGTATTTTCCTACATGACGAGAAGTTTCCTGTTAAGAAATTAGGCTCTTCCGATTACTTATTCAAGCTCAACAACATTAGTCCGATGGCGCCTGCACTTGACGGTTCAAATGTAATAGCGAAGCTTTTCTACCGAAACCACATGCTGTGGCTTACCCTGTGGAAGAGCAACGTGGAGAGAAGATAATCCCTCAAAGTTCCGGAAAGCTTGAAGGTCGATTGCAGTCCACTATATATTGTGTCCGTTAGGATTAGGAATCTCTTCCTCGAATGTTTTCCTTCTCATGATCGCTTGAGTAGTTGCATGAGTGTGGTGAAAATTATAGCACGACAATGCAAATCGAGAAGTTATTGCATGGTCTGTGCACAATGTTGATTAAGATCATCTGAACTATTAATTACGGGAATCCAACATAGGACCCATTTCGATGCTTTAGGTAGGCTTGGTCTATATGATCTAAAGATCATGCAATATCTTTCCAAACGGAGCAGGTCGATTGAAGTTTTTGGTGGGAAAAAGCATATCCTCCTCTCGTGAAAAAGAGATGCCCAGAAAGGATGATAAAAAGCATTGACAGTGAAGTTTTGCATAACCATGCCGCTCCTCAGACTTGGAGTAATTGCAAGTTGATTTTTGCTGTTGAAATTCTTATTCAAGCGATGCTACGAGAGGAGCGCTTGTATGTTTGCTGCATAATAGAGAATTGTGTGCAAAGTGGCAGATTATGCGTGAAAATTGGTTTCTTTCGAATTTCTGGTGCAATTCAAAGATACTGCGCTGAGGACCGCTGGGCGGTAACTGGAACATTATGTTTTTCAGGTTTGGGCTGGACATTGAGACATTATGTTTTACTGTAACGTTAGGGCATGGAATTGGTCTATGATGTTTTTTTACAAGTTGGTTCTGTAACTTCTGTTGGGTGGTCAAAGATGCGATTTTGGCCCAAAAAAGGAAAAACGCAAGAGCAGAGAGATGAGAACGAGCTGGACTTCTAAGATACACTGCTGTACCGTACTCTCAACTATTTCTACGATTGTTTTACATTTTGTTACAAAGATTTGTCGTGATATCATAACTTTTTCTACTTAACTATGAGGACATGTCGAAATATTATACTATACACATAATATATCATAAAAGTGCCCAATTGGATAGGAGCCTAAATAGAGAGGAAACCAAGTGCTCGTGTGTGAGATGCAACGAGCGAGAGGAAGAAAAGAAAGTGAGGCCAGCCATGTTCGTAACAAAATCGGATAGCGATTTCATTCTTGGTTTCCATGAAATCCTACTCCATCGTTTGTGCTATGTGTTAACCGGTGCCAAACGGTGAAAAGCCTCTTCCATCCGTGTATTTTTGGCATTCTTGCTCAGTAAGATCCTGCGGCCCTTTCCTCTATATTATTGCAATCCACCTAGTGGTGAGATAAGCTTGTTGTTGCCGTCATCGAAGATTGTAACTTTGATGGTACGTTGTGTAACCTCTAGTGGGATTATGGAAGGCCTATTGTAACTCCGCTTTGCATTATGCAAGTTTTTGGTGATCGCACTCGGTGTACTCACGTTAGAAATTCTATATGTCGGAGTTCGCATTTTCGCTTCATTATTATACTATAGCAGTGTTTATCATGCTCCGATATTCGCACAGAGAGCGGAGAAGAAATTTCTTAGGTGATGTGATCGCACCACGGTCTTTTCCCAGCAGGTTCTGCATAGGTGACATTTTACGATGACTCGTTAGGTTTTTAATCAGGACTAGTCCACCCAAATTTTACTATGGTTGAGAAATATTGTATATGCTGACTTCCGTATTAGAAAGGAAAAAGCATCAACATTGATACATAAGAGATGGTAAAATCTCCAAGATACATATGGAGTGCAGCTTTCAGAATTAAAAGGATGTCCCTCACAATTTGGCAAATTTTGGAACTCTGCATCCAAAGTCCTGCACGAGTGAGACTACTTTATTTGGGTGGGTAGGGAATCAGTGAAAAGCCAGAGACAAGAAGAACAGAAGGGCTTACTTTGTGATGACGACCTCTCCTTTGATCCCGGCGGCACAATTGGAACAAGCGCATGTAGGTACCTTCCAATAATAGATAGACTTCCATGGGAGGTGTTTCTATATTGATAAATGTGCGTGACCACTTCACGACCAAGGCGGATTCCCTCATCAGGTGAGTTGTTTGCTTTACATCAAGTCGGCTGTGATGGAGCGCAAGAGCGTGTTCCAACACATAGAGACAATAATCCATCTTTATTTTAGGAAACACGCTCAAACTGTAACAGCAAGCAGAAAAGCAGCCCGAATACATCAGCCAGTGTTTTTTTAAGTAGTTTTACAAAAATAACCGACATAGATTACGCTAACTCTTGGCTCACATACCTGTGTGTTTTCTCAGTTGGCAAAGCATGCAATTCTTGGATCTTCTTATAGACGTGGAACCCTGGAATCCAGTGGCCTTCTCATGCCAAAGTTGCACATTCTAATGGAGTATTGAAGTTTTTTGCTCGACCAAGGACATTTCAGCAGCAGAAAGGGAGTCCACAAGCTTGAGAGTGAGAATTGGGTTAATATCTCCAGATTCTCCACTTGACATCCAATCTGATCACTATCACAATGCTCATATAAGGTCATTGAAACCGCAATGGAAAGCCATGGAAACAGATCAAAACTTACCAAACAAGGCAAACCTTGATCAACATTACTGATCTTCGAGGTTATAGACATATGAACTGAACTCCAACGAGAGCAGTGCCTCATCTATTCTTTGAAAGCCATGCATCCACTTGGATACCCACTTTCTTTTTAACCAGGATACAAGCATTAAAATCAGATTTTCAAAGATCAGAATTGGTAGAGGTGAGCTCATTATCTCGGTGTCCCAAAGTGGCTCTCGCAGCAAAATTTATCCACTTATGATGACTGCGCGAGAAGACTACCCTAGCCGAAATCTTAGGTGAGCACCTTCCTGAGAGGTGATGCTCATGAAATTCTGGTGCCGCAATTGTCCTCAACTCCTAAACAACTATTTCCCTTGGATAGTCTAGTAGTATCGGAGGATCTTCACTCAGGATGCCATCTGATTCTGGTTTTCTTCCAGAGGACCAGCAATCCTCAATATCTTCCAAGCGAAGCAAATCTCCCTTCCGCCGTGCTCTTATCAAACTCTTGTTTATCCGTAATTTCAGATCTTTGAGGTTGCAAAGCGATCGAGGTAGTTCCTTGATACTTGTCCCAGATAGATCCAACTCAGTCAATGACTTTAACTCCCCAACAGCATCCGACAGCGAAATTAGATTTGAACAAAACGCCAAACACAAGTACTGAAGATCCACTAGCCCTTTGATTGTGTCCGGAAGTTTGACTACTCCTGTATCCTCCATTACTAGCCTTGACAAAAGTTTTATATTACCGATCGAGTCTGGCAAATTATGAACGCTAAAACCATGGATCAAGATGAGCTCTCTCAGGGAAGTTAGGCAACCAATTTCCTGGGGCAACTCTCTAAGACTCGGACACCATTTGATTTTGAAGTAAGTCAGCCGCTCTAGTTGACCAATCGAGCGATCAATTTCAGTCAAGCTTAGGAAATCTTTCAGAACCAATCTCTTCAAACTCATAAGTTTAGGGAAGCAAGGTGTTTTGATTAAGGATTTAGATCCCGCGAGTTTCAAAACTTTCAGATCACTTGCCTCCTGTAAAATAGCAACCGACTTAATACTGTCAGGACTAGGTAGGTGCATGTCATCATATAATTAGACGATTAGTTGAAAGAGAAAATGGATAAGGTGAAATTGTACCATGATTTCGACCCATCCGCTCCAATGTTCTGCGGTGAAATCGCCCAAAAGCTTGAGAACAACTAGGTGATTCAAAACAAAATTAGTTGCTTGAAGTTTCGGAGGACAGTTTTGCCAACAAAGCCATCTTAGGTCCGGCAAAATATCCTTGAAGTTGCCAACAAAGTTCCCTCCATCCAATTCAAGAAACCTCACGTTAATGAGATTCGCAAAATGCTCGCGAGTAAAATTGTGTCTCGACCTCCGTAGTTTGAGTGCTTCCACATTTTTTGTTCCCTGACAAAAAGAATAATATTTTATTGTGGTAAAAAGTTACTAAGGTATATGAATAATAATAAAGATTTTGACTTTTGATAAGGTTTTAGATATTTTGTGGTTAGAAGAAATAGTTGCTTATGATTCCTTTGATTACGGATTGTATGAAAGGCATATTTAAGTTTGCGATTAGATGATATTGGACACTTAAAATTAAAGAACAAGCATCCTTGGGTAATTATGCAAGTAAGAAGGAGGAGAAGTCAAGATTCAGAAGGAGACGATCTCTTTCGTTGTTGATTGGAGATTTTCTCTAGTTTCTTTTGGGTGTGAACGTCTGTGATTTAAGGAGACTCATGTAAGTAAGGAATTTAATTTCTTAGGAGGTCGAGGTTGTTAGTGGATGGAAGGATATTATTGGTTGACCGTTGGAGTTTTACATGTAGAGACACAGTTTAGGGTTGATCTGATTCTGTATCCGACCACTTCTAGAGGTAAAGTTCTCTTAGAGGTGCCTATATATACAGTTGATGGCTATGGTTTTGAGTTTAAAAAAAGAAAAGAAAGAAAGGAAACAAAAGAAGAGGAGAAAAGATTTTGTTGTGGATAAATAGGAGTGGTCTGGGTATACGGAGAAGAATGATACTTATTCGGATTTTTGGTTAAGTCGCTCGTTATCACTTCTGTGTATTTCACTATATCATCCATGAAGTAAAAACGAAATTATTTTGTCCGTCAATAAATTTTATGAGTTATTACTGAGAACAACATTGCGTGAATTAGTGCTTTTCGTTTGGATTTATGCTCATGATCGACCTACATGATAATCATACATTATGAAAATTGAAATTGAAATTCATAAGTGTACACGTATTGATTCTGTTTTGTGGCTTAATCTCTATGTATATGATTTTTGGGGCTTAACCATAGCCGAGATGGTTTTGGACCTTGTGTTGACTTGTGCAATGAGTTCAGATCCATTAATCATTAAATATAATATCGACCTCTCTAAAATTTGATATTGTTTTTATTTTGGAAATTGTGCATATTTGTTGACTGTATTTATGCGTCTTGGTGAAAATATATACTATTTTTCGAAATATTATTTCTAATTATATTAAGTATGCATAATACAATAATAATTGTATTAGATTCCATGGAAGTGATGTTTGCTACTTACTATGTTAGTAATCCGCTTACTCAGCAGTAAAACTAACCAATTTATAGCTTTTGCTGATGTTTAGTAAGATTGAAAAAATTAGGGTTGAGGTTAATTTTATCAGAGTGCGCAGGGATAGCGTGGACATTTCTATTAGAGTAATTTTGATTGGTGATTACAATTTTGACGGTGAATTTTGATGGAGTTGATGTTTGTAGACATTAGTATAAAAGAATAATTTTCTAGTATTACTTGAAATTTAAGGGATTGTGTATTCAATATTTATGATTTAAGTGGTTAACTTAACTAGCATTTCCTGAGTTTGGATTCGTGAGTTGTGAATTTCAAGGTGCCATATTTCGACTCATGATATAATTCACAGCAAGTCAGTAGAGAATTAAAGGAATTTTGACACCACTTACTAAATTTGATCAGCCTTTTGAAGGGAGAATTATTTTAGCTTTACCAGACATTAATAACGTAACTATTCCTTTACCAAAAAAAAAAATAATAACGTAACTATTCCAAAATATACTTTTTTTGGTTTGAATGTGCATTATCTAGATAGAACAAGATGGATTTTGCTACTTTATATCAATCAGAAAAATTGTAAAGTTACAGGAAAGATTGGATAGCTATGCTTATGTAATTGAAAAGTTCAAATGGTCTTTTAGACCCAATTTCTACTGTTTTTCAGATATTTTTATCTTATTAAAAAAATTTTGAAAATGGGCACGCTATTTATTGGTGAAAAAATTCAGAAAATTAGCAAATTTCTCTTTTAAGGAACAATATTATATTAATTCACAAAGTTTTTTTCAATAGCGCGGAGTTCTTAGCTAGTAATAAACGAAGAAGGCAATGTGCAAGAGATGAACTCTTAGATGCCTAGTTGTGTAGGAGTTGTCTGTACTTACCTTTTTGGCTTGTACCATGTCCAGGGCCTTCTTGGGACACCATATTCTGCTTCCATCTCCATGTAATCCGGTGTTCTCTTGACGAACAATTTCCCTCCCAAGATTTCTTATCGGATCTTGCATACTGACTCTACCATGACCAATAGACCTGATCAAGGACTTATTCATAAGGTCGTCAATTTCGTGCTTCGGATAAAGGTCATAAGCTTTCCACATATACATTGCATTGGTTATTTTCTTGTTAACAAAGAAACATGCAATGTCAAGAAAAATTTGTTTCCCCTCCCGTCCAAGTGCATCATAGCTAATCATTAGCCTCTGTCGGACTTTTTTGGGAGGCGCTTCCTTCAACTTCTTTATTCCGCATTTCCACTCATCTTTACTTGCGGTACCAAGAAGTAAACCTATCTCCTCAATAGCCAATGGAAGTCCTGCAGCAAGTGCAACAGCTTCCCTTGAAAGACCAGAAAGATCACATGGAGCCACATCTGTTCCGAAAACAAGCTTGTTGAAAAGTAGAAGAGCGTGATCCAAATGCATTTCCTTCATTTCGTACAAATCTCTTGATGTGGAACCTGTTAAGATACTTTCCTTCAATCCTTTCACCTTGGTCTCAGAAAAAACATTCTTATCTCTAGTTGTAATGATGATCCTACTCCCTGGACGACACAAAGTACAAAGCTTCACTAGTTCCATAAATTGATCATTTCCATCCATGTCATCGAAAACAACTAAGACTCGCTTGCAAGGAAAAATCTTTTTGATCACATTGTTCCCTTCCTCAAAGTCAAAGGTTTCAGAAAGTAGGTAATCAAAAAGATCCTTTGCTAATTTTCTTTGCATTTTCACCATGCCACCGCCTAGAGATGATTCTCGGATGTTCAAAAGGAAGGAGCAACCTTCAAATAGAGGACAGACTTCGTTGAAGACTGCCTTGGCAAGAGTTGTCTTTCCAACGCCACCAATCCCATGGATTATGACAAATCCTACATCAGCATCACAACCATGTAATAGTTTCTTTATGTCTTCTATAGGACCATCAATTCCCACTAGATTGGCGGGCAAATCTCTTTTTCTTATTGTGATAACCCGCAAAACCTCTTGAGTGATATCTTCAACGGCCTTGCCTTGCCTGCCATATTCATGAAATCGTTGCACATGAGGCTATATTATAAGCAATTAAAATTTCAAAAAGAAGCAAATAATAATTATTAGAGTGCCAATATGTATTTTCCATGTGTTATTTACCATGGGGATACATAAATTGCTCTATCCACATATACCGAGTAAGGCTTATCTTACAAGGGTGGTGAGTATTGCCTCCAAAGAGTTTATCCAGACAGTTTGAGTAAGCGAATGTCGTAATTTGAAGCAATCACTTGAGGCACCCCTTGTAGATAGTCTTAGCCTTAGTAGTAGAAAATGATGCATACAAACCTGCGGGCTTGTTTCGGGAAAATTACCAAAAAAGTCTCAAACCTATTGCAATTGTGCCAATTCGATCATAAATCTTCTTTTTTTGCCAATTCAATCCTAATCTTTTTGCAATTGTGTCAATTCAGTCTATCCGGCCACTTTTGGCCGCCCGGCGCTAACGTGAACGCCGGCCAGCTGACATGGCAATATTTTAATAAATTTTTTTTTTGACTGTTTTTTTTTTTCTATCTTCTTCCTCGATCGCCAGACCGGCGACCGGGCCAGAGGCTGGGACCGGCGAGGTGGAACTCGCCGGCCATGGGTGAGGCTGGCCCTCGCTGGCACTGGCAAGGGCGAGCCTCACCATCGCCGGGCGAGGTCGAGCTCGCCCGGCCATGGCGTGGTCGACCTCGCCCATCGTGAGCGAGTTCCACCTCGCCGGCCTCAGCCTCTGGCCCGTCGCCGGCGACCGGGGAAGAAGATAAAAAAAAAATAAAAAAGAGACAAAAAAAAGTCGAAAAAATTAAAAAAAATTCGAAAAAAAAAATTAAAATATTGCCATGTCAGTCGGCCGGCGTCCACGTCAGCGCCAGCCGGCCAAAAGTGGTCGGATGAACTGAATTGGCACAATTGCAAAAGGTTTATGACTGAATTGACAAAAAAAAAAGGTTTAGGACTGAATTGACACAATTGCAATAGGTTTAGGACTTTTTGGATAATTTTCCCGCTTATGTGCACTCCTATTCGGTATATCTAACAATAATCTGGTATATCTAACAATAATCTATAAAACAAATAAATAGATAAATAAACGAAGATCATGTCTATACCATTGATCTTTAAGATGCCACCCCTTGAAACCTGTCACCGTGGTCAAAGCCTCCTTCCAAGGCTTCACTACAGCGCAGCCAAGGTCCTCCTCATGCTTCGCCAGGGCACTTTTGTACAGGTCCGTTTCAAGCTTAACATCCGAGGGATCCACATCATAAAAGATGGGCAGTATCACTTTCCCTGTGGATTGGCAAGTGCACTTCACTATCTGTGTTAGCTCTTTCAGGCACCATTTACTCGCAGCGTAGTTTTCGGAGAAAACAAGAATGTATATTTTGGAGCTTTCTATTGCTCGCAAGATCTCCGAGATTCTTTCACCCGGCTGTAACTCTTCAGCGTCCCTAAAAATGCGGATACCTTTACTGGTCATGTGCATATAGAGGAAATCTGCAAATCCCTTGCGAGTGTCGGGTCCTCGAAAGTTCAAGAACGCGTCGTAGATGACACCTGTTGCAGTCCCTGAGTTGGCCCCTTCCTTCACCATCTAATAACACAGATTGATGTTTCCGGTTACTTCCTTTTGTGGTGCTGGACGAGATTCCTATAGCTGAAGGCACGATCAAGATGAGTGAGCTGCTGCACGTGTCCATGCGAGACCCCATATCCATCACCATCCACAAATTAAAATCAAAAGACAAAAAAGGAAACTTTACAAAGTGAAAAATCAATGAAGATTGAAGATCATCGTTATAGTCATCCATCCAATGAAAAGTGAAAATGAAAAAGCCATAGAAAAGCCCATTTACCACCGATACCAGAAAATCGACACTCCACAGGCTGAGCAAAACGGATCGACCGGACCGAGAACCGACCGGATCGGATCAAACTAGGCGGTTCTGGGTGGTTCCCGGGGCTCCGATCTGATTCCCGGTTTCATAAAATTGGAATCTGTAATTTTTTTATCCGATTCCAAAGAGCGGACCGATTTATTTATTTTTAAATTTTTTTTTTAATTTCCCAAAGAACAGCAAACCCTTATTCTAATTTTCACTCTCCTCTTTCCCTCTTGGTCTCACCTCTCAGCCTCTCACAGTCACAGTCACGACTGCGATTATTGAGAATTGCCCGTTCCATTGTCCCGCCCGAACCGGGACCGGTCTGGTCCCCAATTCCAGGGTGGGACCGGACCGGAACCGATCACCCCTACCACACACACTCTCTCTTCGCGCGTGTATGAGATGCAGAGTGACACACCCAGACTGAGCTCGTTGCAGCTCAGTTTTCTGCACTGCGACTGACGACGCTCCCACCATTTCGCGCATCACACGGAAGAAATCGAAATCATAGCACACCGAAATCGAAAGATCTGACGAAGAAATCGAAATGGAAACCGATAGAGAGAGATAAGAGTACCTTAGAGTGGGCTGACAGACGGCCGACCAACAATGGCGAGGCTGCGACCGGCGAGACCGAGAGAGAGAGGCGTCACTGCGTCAGGCGATAATTGACAGAGAGAAAGATCGAGTGGCGCTGCTGGAGAGACTCAAGAGCGAGGCCAGGTCAGAGAATGCTCAAGAGACTCCAGTGAGAGGCCAGACCTGAGAAAGCGCAGCTCGCTCAAGAGACTAGAGAGAGATCAACTTTAACCTCCCATATGGTAAAATACAGTCATCCTCCTCCTTATATAAGAGATGAAACTTCTTCGTCTGAGCCATCGTACGACCTTGGCATTTTTTGTGGTGCTTGAGGAGATTTTCTCCCGCCAGAGGCACGATCAAGATGAGTAGAGACTTCCACGGTTCCACCGTCCTTCTTTACGCGTAAGTGCACTCATCGAAGGCCTTTCCATATCCTTTCCGCGTGAGGTGGTGTTCCTTTCCGATAAGGTGACCAATTGACTCTTTCCTTCCGCCTAAGTTGACTCCTCGAAGTCCGTTTCAAGTCGTCGTTATTTAACCATCGCTTGTGATGCAAAATCTGCCTGACATACGAGCAATTTAGGGCCCGTTCGGTAACGTGCCAAATAGTAAAAATTTCTGTTCTTTTATTTTCAGAAATAGTTTGAGAACAGAAATGCGTTTGGTAAACTTTTTGTTCCTGGGCACATTTTTGCAAAAATTTGTGCCGAGAAACAGGTCGCCGGCGGCCGGCCCAGCCCAAGGAAGAACAACACAAAAATAAGAAAAGAAAAAAAAGAAAAAGAAGAAAAAAACTGATTCTCAAAATTGTGCCGAGAAACGAGAAGCAACTTTTTTTTACTTCTTGTTTCTCTTCCAAAACTGTTTCTCGGCACAAATTTTTGCAAAAAAGTGCCCAGGAACAAAAAGTTTACCAAACGCATTTCTGTTCCCAAACTATTTCTGGGAACAAAAGAACAGAAATTTTTACTATTTGGCACGTTATCAAACGGGCCCTAATTGAGCGAATGTTCTGAATGTCTAATTCTAACGTTCACCTTGCTTTAATTTGCCAACTTTTCTTGTTGCGTTGACGTTGACACAAGAAAATGACAGACTCTTAATTGATATTAAAAGAATAGCAAGCTCACTTGATGAGTGCAAAATTTGGTTAAAACATAAATCATCAATGAACAAAACAATCGGTGAGCTATCAGCTCATTCATAGTGCAACAAGATGATGAGGTTAGTGTAGCAATTATCGATGAAATCCTTCACCAATTAACAATTTGAGTTATCTATGGACAAAATCTTTCAACAGTTAACTACTCAAAAGAAATCGATAAACTACCTACTGATAAAGTCATCAACAAGAAGCCATTATAGATTTTACTAACTGTTGAAGCAATGTCATTTATGAAAAATATAGAGATTTGCCATTGCATCAGCCGAAGATGTAGATTGACAAAAATATATGATTGTCAAGTGGTAATGTCTATAATCTCAGAATGTGTATTCTTTTGGGGTGCACAAGGAGACTTTTATAGCAAGAGGAGACTCGATTAAGGCTCCGTGTGTTTGGTGTTAAATGTAACATTTTTGGAAAAATGTTGTCCAAGAAGCCACTTTTCAGGAAAATGATAATATTTTTCAGTATTTAGCTGAAACTTGAAAATAAACTAGAAAATATTTTCCATCATTTGATATGAAAAATCTGATTTAATTTTCCAAGGAAAATTACCAAAAACTTTGATTTTTAAATTTTTTTATTTTTCCTTTTCTTTCTTCTTCGGTCAATGTCCGACCACAGCAACAACCGGCGATCAGCCGCAGGCGAGGGACGAGCTCGACCAAGGCCGACGAGGCTTGAGCTCACAAGATTTCGGCAAGCCAAGCCTCACCAGCCTAGGGCGAGGCTCCACCGTGCCAGAGGTCGGTGAGGTCGAGCTCATCGCGACTCGTGAGTTCTCGAGCTCGCTAGATCTGGCGTTGGGGTTTCTATGCCCAAGTGTAGAGTTTCGAGTCTAAACCCTAATACCTAGTCATATTTTAAAATATGTTTTTTGATTTTTCAAAGAGAATCATTTTTTTAAATTTAAGTACAGATTTTCCGTTGATTAGGAAAATATTTTCCGTTGACTCATTTTTCTAAGAAAATCGAATGCCGAAAAATGAGAAAGATATTTTATCACAAAATATTTTTCGCGAAATAAATATATCCTAAGGCAGAAACTTCCGCTCCCGTTCTTGCCCCATGAGATTACGCATCGAAGTCCTTTCCGACTTGTCACTATTGAACTCTCTTTCGACAAAAAAATAAAAAAAACTCTCTTTCATTCCGTGGAAGGTCCGCCATAAGGTCCGACCGTCCGAGTAATTTCACTCACGGAAGTCCTTTTTCAGCTTTGTCATTATTCGACTGTTTTCTTCGGCGTACGGTCACTCCTCGTCATCATTTAACCCTCTTTCCGCCTCAGTTGAGGGAGGGGTCCAATGTCATTATTAACAAGTCGCATCACGTGTGGTGTTATCCGTGGGAAAATGCTAAATAATTCCCCTCAACGTTCTTCCTAGGTTAATATTAAAAAAAATTAATTATAAAATAAATTTATCTCAAACTAATTATTTAACCCCTAAAAATTTTAAACTAGTACATTTATAATAAATTTATCAAAAGCTAATTTTTTGATCACCAAAAATCTCAAACTGATACATTTGTAACAAAATGACTTTCCGTTAGTTTCCGTTAAATTAAATTAATACTACAAAAAAACTTCAAATTGATACACCTGCAATAAATTTATCTTTCCTTAGTATTTGTTAAATTTTACAATCAAATTGCTTAGTTGAATAACACATGACAGTTGATAGATTTATTATTTTTGATAAATTTGCCTTTCGTTAATTTCCGTTAAATTTTACCATAAAATTACTTAGTTGGATGACACGTGTACTAGTTTGAGATTTAACCCTCCGTTTATCATACGTGTATCAATTTAGGGTTTTTCGTAATATTAATTAAATTTCATTGAAAATGCAGCAACAATTAAATCACTTCTGCCGCATATCATTTGCATTCTCCACCCGCTCAGGTGTCCATGAACAGGAATGGGTTCGACATAGCATAGAATAGATATAGATGATGTTATGTTGATGAAGGCATGACTTCAACAGTTTAAAGTTTCAGAAGCATGAGTGAATCTCATAAACGATAATCCAGCCCAGAACATGCAAGTCATGGATAAAAGGCAACATTATGTAAAATCTGTAAATTTGTATCTACGAGCTACAAAGCGGTTGCTCTTCAAGGATTATTGATAGGGATAGAGCAGGTCAATCATATTGAAGGACCATCTCCGTAAATTTGAATAAAATTAAATTCAAAATTTCAAACCATTGCCAATAATATAAAAAAACGTGAAGAATGCGATGCAAAGACTATTTAAAGATTAGTGCGACCAACTCTAATGGGGCACTTATACATCGCCCATTATGCAGTTTGCCACGGCTTTGTTAACTATTTTAAAATCGACCTTTGCATCCCCAAGCGTTTCTAAAAGTTAATGATATCACCGTCACGAACTAAATGTGCACAGGATTACTTAGGTTGCATTTGGTAACACTTTGCCAAAATCTGTTGGAGCCTTAAAGGCCCTCGCGCCATTGCAAATTATATTTGGCAAAACTTGTGAACGAGCTTTTCCGAGATGCAATAGTATCTCCGAAGTCCTCTAAAGGCACCTGAGCCAATGCACCTCCGGAGCAGCATTCTTTTTCTCTTTTTTTTCTTTTTTGAAAGAGGAGCAGCATTCACATTCTAGCATTTTGGGAACGATGAGGGAGAGTTAATGAAATTTTTCTTATTTACCATCTGACCCTCATTTAATAATTAAAATTCCCATTTTACCATTTTTAGAAAGATACCTTAGTACTGATCGGTTCCTCATCTCGCGTAGCTTCTTCCTCACAAACTTCGCTCTTCCTCGTGGACCTGCTCATGTGAAGATTGCGTTACTCTCATATTTCCTTTCTTCTTCCATCGTCAACTTCGTCGCTCATTGTATCTTTCCATTGCAACAGAACTCTTCGTCTTCGCTACACCTCAGAGGTAAGAACCTCTCTCAAAGGATGTTGAAGAGATTTTTCTTCTTTTTTTATGCAACGGTGTTATTATTCTTGTTTGGCTCATGTCATGTGGTAGCTTGTCCTTTTAATTTCATCAAATCCACATAATTCTCTGATTCGTGATACTGGCATTGAGTTGATTTCACTTCTCTGGCTTGTGGTGGAATGAAGTGTTTAATCATAGGCTTTTGTTCTGTGGTAGCTTGTCCTTTTGTGATGGCATTGAGTTATTATTCTTGCTTTGGTTTAAGTTCCAATATAAAGGTCATTTCACCCACTCCCTTTCTCTTTGATCCCCAATTTTTCGTAAAATTGTTCAAAAAATACTAAATCTTTTTATAATTTTATCAATTCAATCCTGAATTTTTTAATTTTGCCAATTAAGTCCAATATCATTTCATATTTTGCCAATTGAGTCCATCCGATCAATTCTGGCCGGAAATTATTAACGTGGACGCCGGCCGTCCTACATGGCACGGTCCGTGCTGACGTAGACATTTTAAAATAAATTTTTAATAATTTTTTTATTCTTGTGTTCTTTTCTTTTTCCTTTTTTTTTCTTTTTCTTTACTTTTTTTTTCTTCTTCCCTTTTTCTTTCCTTTCCAAAAATGGCGGACTGTGACTGAACCCTCTGATCTCGAAGGCTAGAGACATACAATGATCACAGAATTCCAAAGAGATCAGTGCCTCGTCTATTCTTCGAAAGCCACGGATTCACTTGGACACCCACTTTCTTTGGGACCAGGACACAAGCATTCAGATTGTTGAAGTACAGAATTGGTTGAGATGAGCTCATTATCTCAGTGTCCCAAAGTGGGAATTCCGCAGCAATATTATCTACGAGTCAAGATCTTGCTAAAAGATTACTCTCTCTAAATC